CAGGGAGGATGTAGAAAATGATTAGAAACAACTGTATGATTGGCTCATTTGAGTAGGACAGATAGGGACAGCTCTTGCCTCTCTCTTCTTATTTCAGACAGAAAAATGATGAAGGATTGTTTGGCTACCCCTTCCCTTCAGATGTATGTTTGGAAGCTTTTATACCTGTATTGAATGTCTACGTTTAACTGTGATCCATCTTCCTTCTTCTCCAGCCCCATGCTCTTTTTGATGCAACCTTACGGCTTTTGAAAACCACACTCTTAGTGAACAGAGCCAAGCACACAGCTGAAGGACAATCTCAAAATGACAAATTTAGGCATTGTGTTTGGGTTGTACAAGTTCCCAGCTCTTACAGTTATTTGGTCACTTACAGTGAGGGACTGAAAGTGAAGCTGTTTCAAAACATTTGCCTAGGATTCAAAATTTTCTCAGTAAGCTCTGTGACTGCCTCACAGTTTTCTCCTAACTTAAACCACTCAAATCCTCTGAGCAGACTGCTTCCTACCACAGATGGAATGATCAGACTCATCTATTTTATGTTTCATCTGCTATGGTAATGTTTGCTAACATATTGATGCTTCAATATAGGGAGATGGATCTCAACTGAAATCCAAAGAAAAAGCACTGACCTGTCTCAAGAAGGGGTTTACATTCTTTCCTCTCAAATCCCACAGACACCAGAAAATTCTAGTCTTCAGAGGATCAGCGGTGAGGATGACAGGGAACAGATATTCAGATAGTGGAGTGGATGGAGCACGTATTACCCTCCTATCAACTCGGTCAACACAGAGATTGCCACATAAACTACTCAGCAGTTCTTGCTCCCTGATGCCCCTACCTTGGTCCATGGAATATGAGTTAACCCAGGAATCCACTTTTAATAGTCATCAGACTGTTATCCAGGAGAGGACCTCAGCTTGAACAATATAAGGCTAAGACAGTGAAGGATTAGCAAGAGTTTGTGCTGAATTCCCAATATAAAAAAGCAATCTAGATAGTTACAGCAGCTTTTGACCACACTAGGCAAGAGTTATCACTGATGCTTTGGTCAACATAATTCAATGTGATATTGTAACTCTTCACATATTTTATCTAAATCTATTATCACTTAATTTGAAGAACAATGCCTGAAGGTTTGGCTTGGTGGTCAAGGCCTTTCCTAGCAGGTGTTAGGCCCTGCATTGATCTCTAGCCCTGATTTAAAATTAAGAAATTATTATAATTATTGCTATATTATAGATGGCTATAACTTTGCTAATTCTTAAACTCGTAGTGTCTCATATCAAAGACTCCCCAGACAATGACAAGTCCAGTTAGCCATGAAAGTTGCACTTGCTTTTGATGAAAATGAAGTGACAAAACTAGGTATAGTGATGCATGTCTTTAATATCAGCACACGGGAGGCTGAGGCAGGAGGGTCACCTTGAGTTCAAGGCCAGCTTGTGGGCTACACTGCAAAAACCCTGTCTCAAAACAGGCAAACAAACCAGAGAGGAGGCAAGAAACACACTCAAGTGAATACTTTCCTTTACAGAGGTTCTTTTCATCATGATCACATACAACAGATTGTATTCTTTTTCAGTGGCACCAGAAAATATACTCTCAACTCCCTGGAACACTATCTCTTCTAATTGATCAACATTTCCAAATTGACAGAATAAAGGGGAAAATATATTCTGTCCAACTGAACTCTACTCAAGATTATGTAAAACACTGTTGAATTCAGTACATCGCTCCATCTCTACTTTGCACAATTGGGAATTGTGAACTGCCAAGGCAAGTGCCTACAATTATCAGCTAGTCACTACCTTTTAATGGAGATGCCTCGGCTTGTAAATAGTTTTCTTACTGAAAAACGTCAGGTTTGCATTAAATGCTCTTATCACAGTGGTTGCCTTGTACCTAGGACACATAATCTGAGAACTGAGGCTCTGGCACCATCTGCAGGTCAAGTCTGCTAATTCACCTAGCCATAAAAGTAGATAAGGTTACAGTAGGGATTTAAATGGCATGAAAAATGACAGACAAGTTTGTCTTACAAACACACACACACACACACACACACACACACACACAAACACACACTGGAACAACACCTAGCTTTATCCTCTTGAAATATCTTCAGTGGATGTTTAAAGATTACTATGCAGAAGGAACTTGAGTGTAAGGCCCCCTTAAGCCGTGGGACACTTCCCACAAAAATAACACAGCACAACATTAAAAAAAAGCTGTGGAATCTATCAAGCCATGTGCTTAAGTCTACCTCAGTCTTGCAGCAAGACTCTTCCTAATCATCAGAGAGATGCAGCAACTGTCACCCATGATGCTTTAAAAGGCCATGGGGACTGGAGGAAACAAACTTAAGGTATAGTCTTTTAGCATAACACCGTTGCATTCATCTTTATATCAACATAGCTATAAAACATAATTTTGTTGCTGGGGGATTAAAGCCACAGCTTCCTGCATGCTAAGTATGTACACTCCCTTTGAACCTCATGTAGGTTAATTTTTAACATTTTTAATGGAGAAAGCATGTGGCAACAGATGTGCCTAAGGCCCACTAAAAGTCACACAGGTCTCAAAGTTCAATTACTAAATGCTGAGAAACTACACAGGAAATCTCATGGTTCCATCAACTGAGCACTCCATTCCAGAGAACAGCACAGGGCACATTCAGTTCTCCAGGTTTCCTCCTTACGTGTCAGCTCTTGTTAGCCTTTTTGTCATCTAGTTACTACGAATTGTTGTGTGATAATCTTTTTGTACATTTTAAAGATGTGTCTCTCCATAAGGTGCCTTCTGATTGGTTTAGGCAAGGTTTCCAGGGATAGAGAGAGGAACTCTGGGAAGAAGAGAGGAGGAGAGACGCCAGCGAGATACAGAATAAATTGGATATACAGAGTGGGTGAGAGGGAAAAGCCACATGGCAGAATGTAGATTAATAGAAACAGGTTTATTTAAGTTGTAAGAGCTAGTTGGGGACAAGCCTAAGCTAAAAGGCAGGCTTTCACAATTAATAATAAGTCTCTGTGTCATTATTTGGGAGCTGGTGGTCGACAAGAAAGACTAGCTACGTTTGGTGCCCAATGTGCAGCACATAAATTCACATAGGGCCTGAAAAAGGTGAAGAAGATTCCAAACACAGTGTCAGATGTGTGGCTTCCTGGTGACCACCCACCGTCTCTAGGGTAGGCCCTGTACTTGTGATGTACAGATGTGGGGCTCCTTTAAGAGGCCCTGCTGTGCAAGTCAAGGACTTGAGCAGCTGATGTGCTACTCAAGTACAAAGGCCTGCCTGGTGCTGACACAACTACCCAGAGCTGGTACCTGGGATGGTCAGGAGCTGCTGGGACAGTTAGGCATGGCCTCTGCTGCTGCCAGCAGACAGGAAAAGGGTGGAGAGAGCTGCCAGCCACGTGCTAAGCTAACTCCTCTGAGGAGGGTCTATCCAGTTAAGGTTTGGCTTACACCATCAGAGAAGGTTGCAGATGTGCATCAAGTTAGGTCCAGGAAAGCTCTGAACAGGTACGATGTGTTTGAAAATTGATTAGGTGCTAAAGAAAGAAAAAGAAATGGGTACAAACAGTCATAAAATAGTTTTTAAAAAATAAAGCCTTTAAACAAAGAAAAAAATAGTGTAAGAAAAATAAGCCATTTAAGAATGGAAAATACTTAGGGTGTCTGGATCCTGTATGGTGCTTTGTTGACTTTAAAATTTTTAAATGCTAATAAAAACAACAACAGTTGCCTAGAGACACTGAATTGTAGAAAAATTACTAAATTAAACCCTCCTATATATTTGAAAGATGTCTTAACTTTAGTATGAGAATGAGAAAATATGTTGTATTGGGAGAGAAATTATGCATTTGTTTCACAGGGAGGGGGAGCTATAGATTTTTCAAAATTATAAAGATCAGATTTGATCAGGGAGATCTCCTGAAAATCTTGGCTACAGACATAAAGGAAAAAAAGCAAGAAAACTACAAGACAGGTGATGTATAAGCTTATCCCTCTGAGATGATGTGACAGGATAAATCTTGTTGCCTACAGTGTTGTTATGCATTAATATTACATGCTATTCTTTCATGTGGCATGGTTGAAGATTTATACTACAGTTTGTTTATGCAGTCCAAATTAACTTATAAAGTTTGCAGATGTCTTTTACCTGCCCTAACATAGAACAACAACAAAAAAATCATTAACTTACTTGTGCACACCTCACATTCCATACTTGTGTTAATGCACGTATGTATGTTACCTTTAAAAGTCTGTGTGTTTTCAGAAAAAAAAGAACCATACACCAATGAAGACAAGCAGCCTACGTGATCTGGCCTCTCGCAATGCCTCTGTTATAGTTTCCTCAAGAGACTACACCCAGAACAGCTTCAAAACTGCATTTTTCTAACACACCAAGACTGAACAACAGTTAGCTCTCCCAGGACTTGATCATTATCCCAGTTTTCTCAGGGTCCCCCAAAGATTCTATCACTAGATGATACTACAGCCACATTCCCAAAAGATGGGTTTGGTGTTTTTCCATCATTTGATGAATTATGGGTGTTTATCCTTATTTAGGAGGATTGGTTGCAAGTTGTTATTGGTCATGGTCAGAAGGAAACAAAGCAAAGGAGATTAGATTCAAGGATCTCTTCCTAAAAACAAAAAAGGGGGGGTATAGGAATGATGTGTACTGCTGTTGGGAGGACCAGCCTTCAGTAGCTCAGGGATTGAGGGGAAGTCAGGAAGTCAAGAAACTAATCACTCAACTTGACTTTCCTGTTTGAGGGAGTAAAACTTAATTCTCTGGGGTCAGCGATAGAGGGTAAAATTAATTTTCTGAGGTAGGAAAGAAAGGGACACATACACACAGACAGACACACTCCTAACTACCTTTACATTCTCTCCATCATCTTCTCTCTCTGTTTTTATTTCTTGCCTTATCTCTATCCAGATGTATTCTTTCTGTCTTTCTTGATGTCTTCCTTCTAACTAACTTTTTTTCCCTTACAGCTTATATACCCCAGCAAAATCTCTCAGTCAGTATAAAACTACAATGTGGTTACATTTCATTTTTAATTGAATATTACAATGAACACAAGTAAAAACATTTTTTTCATATTTCCTTTACATGGCTAAACATTCTACATATTATAACAAATTATCCAAAGAAGCCACATACATTCTTATCCAAGCAACTTATTAAAGATTAACAGAGGGTAAGTAAGCAAGATATTTTTCTTAAGCCCATTCTTTTGCCTGTATGCTGCATTTTGTGGTTACAAAGAAAGGACCAATCATTTATTACTTATCTCAATAAGTAATCATATAAGAAATCTTAGAAAAATCACAAATCTAAACTTTTATATATGAAAAGGAATCAGTCACCTCTATTTTAAATCATCAAGGTGAATATCCATTTGTCAACATTTTTTTCATGTCAGGAAACTAAGGGCATAAATTGGTACAAAGAATTTATCATCACCTTTAGTCACAGACCCATCCTTTCAAGAAAGGCATGTCAGTCAGCAGTAGCCTAATTTTAAGTCATTATTTAAAGCTTTAACTGTGATACACACCAAAGCCTGTGAACATACCTCTCGACATTAAGATTAAAAGAAATTAAGCTAATTTGGCTTCTGGGACACAATTGTTTTTCTTAATTATTTGCCTAAGTCACAATGTATATGGCTTCTCAAGGGAAACTGGCTGTATGACATTTCCTTGTTCTAACTTTCTATCCTCTGCAACCCCTGCTTTATTGGGGTGGAGGCAACACCATATCTTACTTTTACCTATATTAATCTTCCCATGAAGCTAACCTCTATCATAATCCCTTACTGTATTTATTAAAGACCCCCAATCATCAAAATCCTATTTAAAGTGACACTATTGTTATATAAAAACATTGTTACAGTTAAACAGTATAGCTTAGAAGGAAATCATCTTCATAACAATCCACAGGGAAAAACACCCAGTAGAATGGGATATTCCCATGAGATAATCACACTACATTAAAGGCAGTGGGGAATTTCTCCCATGCCCATTCACACAATGCCAGATACCAGAGAAAAATGGCAGTAGCAAACATGTAAAGGCAAACAGTAGCAAGATGCATTCTTGGGTTGAAGACATCAGGGCTTTGCCTATCCAAGATTAATTCATCAGAGGTTTGCTTCCTGGTGGACTGACCTCCCAAAATTCAATTGCCACCTGCTGCTCCTCTGACATGACCACTGGCAGCCAGGATAAAAGGACAGATTATTATAACCTACATTTAAACTAAAAAGCAATTATTAATCTCAAATAGATTATATTGGTATGGATTTTGTATTTTGATGCAAATTTAAGGTTGCTTTATTATAGTGTATATATGTTTCTACTCTTATTTAAGGTAGTGTACCTATGCAGCTCATTTATAGCTGATGTATAGTTCTAGTCTTTAAAAGATATTATTACAAACTACTTAGGGTAATTAAGAAACACAGATTAGTAGTTATCTATAACAATCAAATTTGTGGTCATGTTAGGTATGTTTTCAAGGTCAAATAGAAATATTTTTTAGATAGGCAGATGGTCTTCAAACATTTCAGAGACCCACAAAATATAACGTTTAAGATGTCTTAATAACATAAGGCTTCTCATGACAGTGAGACATGTTTGCTCCTCAAGCACCAATTTACTTCAAAAAGGGATGATGGACATCAAGGAAACTTCATACGGAGTTTGCTTTCATTGTGGCAAAATTAGGTACTGGGCAAGAAACTGTCCTTGCCTTGACTACTGGCAGTATGCTGCCCAAATCTGATATGCAGGACACCAAAGAAAGTAACTGCAGAACTTTGCCAAGACAAGGTAGGACAGTACTTAAAAATATAAAAACATTCTGGTTTCACTGAAAATCCTGTCAGATATTCTAGGCCTGTAGGATGTCCTGATATTGCTGAAGAAGCTTGGATGACTGTTCAGGAAGTCATTTTTACAGTTTTAGAAGTCACTTGCTCTGCATTTCCCGTTTACTCAGGTAATATACCCTTCTCAAGCCTCTGATGGGGTTAAAAAATATAGTTTTACAGTTTCCTTGTTACCAAATTAAAAAAAGAAACTTACCTAAGAGATGTAAAGTTTATAAGGTTGAGAAACAAAAAAAACTTAAGTTGTTTATCTAAGAAAATGTTTTGAGGTCTAAAAGGATAATTTTAGAATGGTAGTACAAGCTATGATAGAAAGTGGTTTTTTTAGGTATAAAACTTTGGAGTCATCAAGATAGGATTATTAATAGAGTACTTTCCCCAATTTGCTAAATACAAATGGATTGAACATTGGGTATGTTATTCTTACTTGATGATTGTTCTTATTGGATATAGTTTTATTGTGTAGAGTTAAATCCTTTCCTTTTTGATTTAGACACAAGGGGGAAATGTGGGATAAACTTTTTGTACATTACAAAGATGTATCTTTGTCTAAATTGCCTTCGGATTGGTTTAAAAAGAAAGCTGAATGGCCAATAGCTAGGCAGGAGAGAATAGGCAGAATTTCTGGTGAAAGAGAGGAACTCTGTGAAGAAAACAGGAGAGACACCAGGAAGATGCAGAACAAGTCGGCTGTACAGAATGTGAGAGAGGTAAAAGCCATGTGTCAGAATTTAGATGAATAAGAATGGGATAATTTAAGTTATAAGAGCTAGTTGGGAAGAAGTCTAAGCTAAAGGCCAAACTTTCATAATTAATAATAAGTCTCTGTGTCATTCTTTGGGAGTTGTTGGCTAACAAGAAAGACTAGCCACAAGGAATTGTGTGTTTGAGTTGCTTTAAAGTTTGTGCTCACTTTTACTTACTTAACTCACACATTTCTGACTTGGTGCTTTTTAAATCATAAACGCTTTAACTTGGCAAACAAACCAAACCTAACAAATGTAGTAATCACTGAAAAACATAAAGCCAAATAGTGGCTTCTACCAGCTTGTTTAACTGATACAATATACCAGTAGTATTATGAATAACAAGACTAAAATCCATATCCTCGGCTTTGTTTTTTGTTTTTAGGCTGAGGATTGAACCAAGAGCTCCATGTATGATAGGTCAGTGTTCTCCACTGAGCTATACTCTAGCACTATGCCTGGCCTTTGTTCATTTGCTGCATGCTAGCCACTTAAAAACTTAAATAGCCACATTTTAACTTTAAATTTACCCAGCAGCCCTGAGAAATAAGTATGTCTATCATTATGTTGCAATAGATTCGAGAGTATAAGAAGCTAAAATTTTCTACATAAGTCCATATGCTTGGGTTGAAGCAGAGCTAGGATTTGGAGCTGAAGTGCAATCATGGTCTGCCTGTCACAGGCTTTAGTGAGGTGTGACTTCTTGTGGCTCTCTTATCTCAGCCCTATACCTGCACTGTGCTCTTAGTAATACCTCTCCAGGTAAGAAAAAGTATTCTACATCTACCCCCACTTACACGTTCCAACTGCCAACATTCTTCCCAATAAGACCCCCCTCCCCTCAACTTTTCTTTTCTTTTTGTTTTGTTTTGTTTTGGATTGCCCAGTCTACTTAGCAGTACTCTGTGTGCTCAGGTCTGGAACCATCCACTGGAGTATGAGAACTCTACCAGCCACCATATTCTGGGAAAGAAATTATTCCCTAGCAGCTATCTACTGCCAATTGCTAATCAGAGATGGGGTGTGGAAACCATCTAGGCCATTCATGCTAGAATTTTTGCTGAGTTGATGCTATGTAGCTTGTGTGCAGTGACTGAAGTTGCTATCAGTTCATGACTGTGTTACTAATATCATGTCCGGAAGACAGCATTTCACATGCCTCCTCCCCATTCTACAGCTTCTGTGTTCTTTCCACCATCTTTTCCTTGGTGTTGCTTGATCCAAGCTATTATTCTCTCTGCTGGTATCTGTACCTAGGTGCTGGGATAATTGAAAGCCTCATGGCAGCATTGTAGTACATGCTTCAGACTAACCCAGTGTGTCTGAGAATTGTTGCCGGAGTTTGAGGATTATCAAGGACTGCATCAGCAATGGTAAAGCTCCTAAAGAGCACTAGGTCAGTGCTTTACGATGGAGTCTTCAGTATCAACCTCTCAGACCTTCAGCAGATGCCTTCTCAACCTCTAGCTCTCCTTATTCACGTGCAGTTCTTATAAAAGCCTTGACAGTCTCCAATGATTGCACTAAACAGGGTATATCTGGGAGACATCAAGTGTCATGGCACTCTGACCTCTGATACAGAGTCACAGCTGGAACAGAGAAAAACACAAGTTTGCAAATATGGTGTAGTCACAGAAAGCAACCTAATGTGTAAATATCAAACCACACTTCGAAGTCAAATTCAAATTACTGTAAGTTCTTATTTTGCTTTTCTTTAATACTGTTGACTTAGAACATTCCATATTTTATTAGTTTCTTTAGTCTTTATAATACGTTTAAGCAATGTTCAAATAAACTTCAAAAATTTTCTTCAACTATTTCCTGAATCAAGTTTCATTTCTAATGATAGAGGATTGTAAATAGTTCATGTTTCTCAATGATATTTCACCTGTAATAGAAATAGAAAGTCAAGTTCCAGTAAACAGTACAAATTGTTTGACCTTTATTTGCTATTTATTTTCTCTTCCTCTGACATGGCAAATAAAGCCCTTTCCATTTTATTTTCTTTTTTTCCTTCTTTTTAAATTTAAATTAAAAACATGCATGCTTCAAATGTCAATCCTAGCTCCCCCCCCATTATCCCTCCACCAGCCTCACCCCATCCCCCCACCCCCAGCCCAATCCCCACATCATTCCCCAGGGAGGGTGAGGCCCACCTTGGGGGAATCTCCAGAGTATGTCATTTCATCCAGGGCAGGGCCTAGGCCCTTCCCCATGTGTCCAGGCTGAGAGAGCATCCCTCCATTTGGAATGGGCTCCCAAAGTTCATTTATATGCCATGGTAAACACTGATCTACTACTCAAGGCCCCAGAGATTTCTGAGGCCTCCTCACTGACACTACGTTCATGGAGTCTGGATCAGTCCCCTGTTGGCCTCTCAGCCATCAGTTTGGTGTTCAAGAGCTCCCCCTTGTCCAGTCGGCTGTCTTCAAACAAAGCCCTTTCAATTCTGTTAGCTGCTACACTCAGCATTGTTTTCATAAGATAGACCTGAACATGAGCAGATGTGAGGGTAAACTGACATATATAGTGTGACCCGTTCTAAGAAAGTATTCCATTAAAATGCTCGATGGACACTAATAACTGACTTCTATATAGTTTGGCAAGGGCCACATATTTTACACATTTATCTCAAGTCTCATTCCGCATCCTTTTCTTTCTCCACTATTATTCTCTCCTCTCTTCCAGGTAACACACAACAGCAGACTTATACAGGACTTGTTCATATCTAACTGAAACAACTTTGCTTTCTGAATTTCACACCATGACTTTATCTTGTTCCTGCTATTTTTAGGACAGGACCTTTTCCTTGTTCCAGGAGAAAAGCATACAGTAATTGTCTTTTCACCTAACACAGACTGATCCAGTTTCAAGAATTTTTTATTATTTTAAGCATTATGATATTTCAACATATTTAGACCTTCATGAACTCTGGGCTATTTTGTTTGATTTTGACATAGTGTCTCAGTTCATTATGTAGCTAAAGATGAACTTGAACCTATGATCCTCCAACCCTCACATACTGAGTGTTTGCTCCTCCAGACTTTGAAATCTAAGTAACATATGATGGCTTTTATATCAAAACTCATAGAGTAAGACATTTTTGAAGGGTTTACTGAATGTGCACACATATGCAAACCTGTGTATCATCACTACACACCTCTAATATGTATAGATATCAGAACCAAAAAAACATTTTAATAGTCTGGAATTGGAGTAGTAAATGAACAGGTATAGTGCAAACTTTTATAGAAAAGCTTTGAAATAAATGTGTTCCAGTGGCTGCCTTATAGGTCAATGTGAGGTCAAGTCTCATGCAACAAAGGACTCGATTCATGCCTTGGTTCTTTGGTTTCTGAAATACAAGTTCCAGTGATTCTAGAATGCCTGATTCTAGTGACAAGCACATTTCTTTTCTTAGAAATGGACTTTTGTAAATAACAAAAGAGAACTTTTGTCAGGGAGAGTTATGAGAACAGACTGGACATGGCCATTAGAATATTATAGGGCTGGACTTTAGTCAGTGAGGTAGTGACTCCTTAATTTCAAGTGGTAGGATGTTGTGAGAGGTGAGGCTGTATTTTTGATACTCCATTTGATCAGAGCATATATTCATTGCATATTGTGTCATGTTGGTTGTGGAATAGCTGCCCTCTGTTGTGTCTTGGAACCCTGTATCCCATTGCACATTGGGATGTAAACGTTGCACTGCATTAGGTGAATATAAGACATTTGTGTGAGTGTAAAATGATACGTGTTTTGGTTTTAGAGGCAAATATTGAACCCATGTATGCTTTACTTTGTAAATAATATCAACAGTAGTCAGATACCAAGGAGAAGACACACAGATGTGTCTATATCTGTTATTTGCACTATCAGGTACCTGTATCTTCTTTTCACATCTGACGCCAGAGTATCCAATGCGGCAAGAACATACACCAGGTAATGCACATCTTCCTCCATGAAGACACTTCTGGGTACAGATGGCTGCAATAGGCAAATGTTGTTGTTGTTGTTTTAATTCACCATGTCTTGAAATAGAATCCAGCAATACATAGTGGAATACTGGCCTGAAGCTATTTTGTGATTGAAGCATTTACTGTGATTCTCAAAGCCATTGCTTCAATTCATACATGAACTGAAATACCACACAGAGATAAGTTGGTGGGGGTGCCAACTTATACAGTCATTTTGGAGATCAGTATGGAGATTCTTCAGGAAAATGGGAATCAGTCTGCCACTAGACCCAGCAATTCCATTCTTAGGCATATACCCAAAAAAGACACATTCATACAAGGATGCCTGTTCCATTATATTCATAGCAGCATTATTTGTAATAGCCAGAACCTGGAAGCATCCCAGATGCTCCTCAACTGAAGAGCAGACAGAGAAAATGTGGTACATTTATACAATGGAGTACTACTTAGCAGAAAAAAATGGAATACTGAAATTCACAGGCAAATGGATGGCACTGGAAGAAACCATCCTGAGTGAGGTAACCCAGTCACAAAAAGACAAACATGGTATGGACTCATTCATATATGGATTTTAGACATGGAGCAGGGGATTGCCAGCCTACAACCCCACCACCAGAGAGTCTGTGAAACAGGGAGGACTATAAGAGAGATATGCATGGTACCTCAAAGAAGGGGAATAGGATGGGATTTCCTGAGGGGATTGGGAACATGGGGTGAGAGAAGGGGAAAGAAAGCTTGGAGAAAGAGAGGAGGAGAAATAGAGAGGAGAAGAGGACATGGGGGAGCAGGAAGGTTGAGTCAAGGTTTGAGAAGAGACCTGGCACTAGGGAGATTTTCAGAGATCTACAAGGATGACACCAACTGGCAAACTAACCAATAGTAGAGAAGCTACTTTAAATGCCCTCCCCTGATAATGAGATTGATGACTACCTTATATGCTATCCTAGAACCTCCATCTAGTGGCTGTTGGAAGCAGAGGCAGACACCCACAGCTAAACACTGGACTGAACTGGAAACCAGCTGTAGAGAGGGAGGAGTGATGAGCAAATTAGTCACGACCTAACTGGTAAAACCCACAGAGGCAGCTGACCTGAACAAGGGGGAGCCCTTGGACCTCAGACTGGTGACTGAGGGGCCAGCATGGGACTGATGCAGACCCCCTGAATGTGGATGTCAGTGAGGAGGCCTCAGCAATCTATGGGGCCTTGGATAGTAGACCAGTATTTAGACCTGGCGTACAAACGGACTTTGGGAGCCCATTCCACAGGGAGGGAGGCTGTCTCAGCATGGACACATGGGGGAGGGCCTGGGCCCTGCCTGGGATGATATGACAGACATTGAAGATTCCCCATTGAGGGCCTCACTTCCCTGGGTAACATAGGGGTAATGGGGTAGGGTGTTGGGGGGATTGGTGGGGGGCCGGGGAGGAGGGGAGGGTGAGAGAGCTGAGTTTGACATGTCAAGCAAGCTTGTTTCTAATTTAAATAAAATAAAAAGTGGGAAAAATTCATCAAATCAGATACATAAAAATAAATAAAATAAATTATAATTGACTATAGGAAAGAAGTGCATGGAAACAAATGTGCAATTTAAATGTTCTGGTAGCTGCAATAGAGTAGAAAAGAAGTAGGTGATGTGAAGAATCTGTCAGAGACCCATCTATGGGCAGATCTAATCTATGGGCTCTCTTACTTTAGAGCCCCCATCCCCAACTCAAGGGTTACCCTATTAAAGTAAACTAAAATTGTATTAGTCATGTTTGAAGCTATCTGAAATACATGCTATTAAAGGATTCCAAAGAGACTGCTGGTACTGGCATTTTATGAAGTAATTTATATCCTACTTTAGATTCTATCTAGCTGGAAACTCACTTTCTTCTTCCCTCCTTTGCTTTCTGGAGACAGACTCTTGCTATGGACCCTCACTGGCTTTATACTTCCTTTGTAGCTTGAATTGGCTGAAACTCATTACTGTCCTTCCAGGAAAGTCTTTCAAGTGCTTGGAGTCCAGGTATGCAGCACCATGCCCTGCTCATTCAGTAACCTCTGAAACATATTTTCACTGTCCATTTGTGGATATCTCTTCCAAGATAATCCTAAAAATATCTATATGTATCTCAGTGTCTATTTGTGCATCATCATCTATAAAATGCTTATAATAAAATAATCACTTGTAAGTATGTAAAATGGCCCCCATAAGGGGAAAGGTCATTGCATTAAATATAAATACCACTCAATGACATTACAAAATTTAACATAATACTCAAAATGATATTTTAAGGAAGATATTATGTTTTTAAGTAACATTGAATAAAAATAAGCACACCATAAAATTATAGGTATATAGTAATTTTTTAAAGAAACCACATTGTTGTGTAAGTAATTTTGAAAGTTCATGTAATTCAAGAGTTGACAAACTATGTTTTGATCAGCTATGTTTGGGTAGGAATGTAGCAAGCAAGGGTTCTAGATATGGGCATTATCACCGTTTCTCAGAAGACAGCTGTAACATTTATGTTCAGTTAGCATTGTCAGTACATTAGGTAGTTTCTGGACAATTAGAAAGAAAGCATTTAGAGAAGATGGTTTGTGTTTTGATTCACATAAGTCCTCGAGTGTGAAGAAACCATACTCCCAGATCCAGTCTAGAGAATATCAGTCTACAACTGTGGGAGAAGCTTCCAAAATCATGGAGGATCATGAGGAACAAAGTGGACAGAAGAGGGCAATGGAATTTAACATAATTAGAAGACATTAGACACATATGTAAAAATGTCATAATGAAACCCATTATTGCTTTGTTTAACATATTATTTTAAAACTGTAAAAGGAAATAAGAGAAACAAACCATCAAATGACCTTCTCACTTCTTTCAAACGGGTATAAGATTGGCTAGCATTTATTTTTCCTTCTATATTTTTATTTATTTTATTTTGTACCTGTGACAGCTTTAAAAGTCAATCTGACACAATCTAAGGACCACCTAGGAAGGAAGTCCTGATGAAGTTTTGCTTAGCTCAGGGTGTCCTATGGGCATCTCTGTGAGTGATTATTTTGATTAGATCTTAACTAATGTGGGAACACCCTGCCTGACTGAAAGTGGATGGCACCATTCCCAAGTTTAGGGCCCTAGATTATAGAAGAACGAGGAAACTATCTAAGCACTGGAGTATTGATTGGTTTCTCTCTTCTCTTCACTGTGGATGTATGCGAATTTGAAGCTTTTGCCCCTGTGACCATCAGATAACAATGAAATGTGACTTGCAATTGTAAGTTAAAATAAATGATTTCTTTCATACGTTGCTTTTTGTCCAAATATTTTATCAGAGTGACACAAATGGAATTAGCATAGTGCATGGGGGGGACACACCTGTGCCATGGCACATATGTGGAAGTCAGATCACAACTTCTGGGGTTCTGTTCTCTTTAGACTTGGTGAAAAGCACCTTTACCCACTGAACCATTATTTTTTACTTTACTTTTATATTCCAATCCCAGTTCCCTCTTCCTTCCAACTGAGCCATTTTGTGGGCCCATCTTTTTATTTATAAAGGGATCAGCAACATAACATTTTGTTTCGACTATGGATTTCTTCATGAGCTACAGATAATTATTCCCATAAGTTCATACTCAGGCCATCAAGTAGAGAAAGGTTCCTTACGTTTCTCACACTGTACCCCTTCCCAGGTCAAGGGGCAATGACACATGCTGGGAGCTATGCATTCACCGCCATTTTTACATTTCTGAAGGCAGATTGCTGCAAACAAAAAGATAAACAAATTAAAATTTTAACCTGCTTGTCAAAGTTTAACATAAACCACAAAAAGCAATTTTTAAAAAGAGGAAAATTTATAAGTCAAGAATAAAAGTTCTTTCCTCAGCTGGAAACGAGGAAGCACACCTGAAATACCACCATTTTGGAGTCTAAGGCAGTAGGATCAGGAGTTCCAGTCTATCATCAGCTACACAGCAAGTTCAATGACAGCCTAGGTGATAAGAGATCCTGCCTCAAGTAAAATAAAATAAGAAGGGAAACATTTTATCAATTAACCATGTTCTTGAAAAAAGTCTCACCAACATATCTTTCTAAACAAAGGTTGATCAAGGAAACAATAGACATGTCAAACTAGATGAGGAAAGATCAGAGGCCTTAACTCTATATAATGAACTATAGTCGACTAAGGAATGCTGATAGTGGGAGAAAAGTCTTCCCAGAGAAGATCACACCAATTCGTTGTCAATACAAAATGACCATCCCTGAAAACACACATAAAAGAAACATTATACAGACTGAACAGGTTGTATTTAGAAATATATCTGTATGTCTATCTATCTATGTATCTATCTATCTATCTATCTATGTATCTATCTATGTATCTATCTATCATCTATCTTATACACACACACACAAATATACACAGACAAATTGATGAAACAGGCCATGAATTTGAAAGAAAGCAAGGAAGAGCATACATAAGGGACAGTTTGGGGGGAGCAAAGGGAAGGGAAAAATAATGCAATTACATTGTAATCTCAAAAACAGGGGAAAAAAAAGAAAAGAAAAATGTGATTATAATAATCTTCAGAACACCACAGTTTGTCCTAACTTCTTCCCCAATTATTGGACTTTTACAATGGTTTTCATGTTATAATAGCTGTTATTACAAAAATATTTTAGTTTATTTGGATATAGAGCTTCATTATGCAGCCCTGTGTGGCCTGAAAATCACTATGTAGACCACCTTGATTTCATAGAGATCTGTCTGCCTTTGTTCCTAGGTTGAGACTAAAGGAATGTAACACCATACCCAGTTTAAATAACAATTTCACACAAAGAGAAAACATTGCAACTAATCTGCTCCAGTGGGTAGAAGCCCACCCTGGAAAGGGCTGAACTCAAGTGAAGTTAAGAAATCAGTGAGTTTTTCACATCTTCCTCTCAGCCTAACTTCAGATTAGGAATCCAGACCTGGAGCTAATGCTAGCATATGCAGTTGCAAAACTGGAAAACACTATATGTACACTGTCTTCAGATGACCTGGTCTTTCACTATTTCAAAATGATATCTCCTAAAGCATGAATAGATGAGCAAAATAAAAGCAAGCAAATGAAAAGAAAAAGACCCTTCCTTAAATTTTGCTGTATGCTTTCATGAAGGTAGGCCTTCACACTCTGGGAGCCATATTTCTTGTTTTACGTACGTGTGTCACACCACTTCCCAGTCCAACCGGAAGCACAAGAACAAATATTGGGTCCCACGCATTTTCCTCCATTCATGCACATAGGTTCACAGATGCCTGAAGGTTAAAAGAAGAAGAATAAAAGGCACGTCAAGCAGCAACCATTCATTTTTTCCTGTAATATTCAAATGTTTTAGTGATGTCTTACTTTTTTGGCATCTCTTTCCGGTGTACCCACCACGACAGGTGCACACATTATTTCTCATACAGTGGCCGCCATTCTTACAGGGAGGGTGACAGACAGCTGAAAGGACACATGACAGTAATGTGTGAACAGTACATATTCAATTATTATATATTGCACATTGCCTCATAGACTTCTTATCTATGGAGCCATAAGATAGAGGAATGTGCTATAAAAATAAAAGATCCCAACTGCAAACCATTGCAGCTGTCCTATCTAAATAATAAAATGCAGAACTCAGAACCATCAGCTGCCAGCCATTAGTACCATTAAAATGCCTTAGCATTGGAGTCTTCACTATGATCCTGCATGCATTATGAACCTTAGTTTACATTTCACTTGCCTGCAAAGCAAATTGTGAAATGATATGGACAGAACCAGGAGAGTGAATAAAAGCTTAGCTCAAAGTTAGAATGCATTTCCTCCAGCACAAATTAGAATGACCCTCACTATTTGCTGCATTAATTCAGAAAATTATTAGGAAATACTTAAAAATGGCTTCAATCTGATCAAGTTATGAGTCAGCTTCATATGACTGGTTCCTGTAAATGCTGGGTAGAAATCTCTTAAACAATAAGTCCTTTGCTTTGTAGGGAATATGTGTTAGCTGTTTAGTATACACTTTCCTGGTATTTATCACACAGGGTTATCTATGGTAGGAAACAATGTTGATTGTTTGTCACTTCAATGACTTTTATTGCTTTGTATCTCTTCCATATATTAACTTTTGATTGTATTATACTTCTCACCCAATGCTGAGGATTGAACCAGGACCCTATTAATGCTTAGCAAGTGCTCTACCACCCAGCTACACTGTAGACCTTGAATACTGGGTTTTCTTTTGTCATTTATTTGTTTTGTTTAATTGTACAAAGTACCATGCATAGAAAAAATTAAATTTAATTCCATACTGGACACACTTCCTCCAACAAGGCCACATCTTCTCCAACAAAGCCACACTTCCTGATAGTACCACTCCCTTTGGGGGCCATTTTATTTCAAACCACCACATTATACTCCCTGGCCCCTACAGGACTGGCGGCATATCATAATGCAAAAATGCATTCATTCCAACTTCAAAAGTCTCCATAGTCTCTACTGGTCTCAAACTTATTGTAAAGTCTAAAGTTCAACGTCTTTTCTGAGATTCATGAAATCTCTTAAGTGTTATCCCTTGCAAAATCAAAATCAAAAAAGCAGATCAGATACTTCTAACATATACTGGCACGGTATATACATTACATTTCAAAAAGGGAAGAAAAGGAGGATGCTGAGGAAATACTGTACCAAAGCAAGACTGAAAATAAACTGGGCAAACTCCAAACTGCATCTCCATATTTGATCTCAAAATGCTCTTCAAATGTCCAACTCATTTCATCTTTTTAGACTGCAACACACTTCTCTCTCTTGGGCTTGTACCATTCCTTGTTAGAAGCTCTCCTTGACAGGTATCCCACCATTCTGGCATCTCAAACATCTTGGGGTCTTCAAGGCCATTCAGGCTTCAACTTCACAGCTCCTTGCAAAGACCTCTCTAGGGGATACCCCTGACACATGCTTTGCCTCAGCACTTTACCTTAGTCATGAAAGAAGACTCCATGACCCCTTTCTTCTATCCTTGAATCTAAAGCCAGAACAATGTGGCTGAAGCTGCCAAGTCCTGCTGCTTGCTGGGGATGGAAATGGCTCCCTGATTTAATGACATCATCACCAGCTTTCTGTTTTCAGTGGTTTCCTTCATTGATTAAGCTTGTATGTCCTGAAAATGGATCTGTAGTCCAGGCTGGCCTCAAACTCAGAGATCTGCCTGTCTCTGTCTCCAGAGTGCTGGGATTAAGTGTGTGCATGACCATACCTGGTTCTAAACTTTTCCTTAATTCCTTTTCAAAAGTTGGTAACATGGCTGGATGGGATCTAGCCTTGAGGTCTCCATTCCTTTTATCCCATGTCTTAATCTATCTTTCTCCTTGAACACAACTCTATTCTACTTCCTGATGCTCTTTTTCTTCACAAATGGCACATTTTCTACTTTTTTCTTACTCAGCTTGCTCCTTTTGATTATATATCTTCATTAGCATTACCACTAATAATTGCATGACACAGTCTACACTAGGCTATTTTGAGATTTCCTCTACTAGTGGAATTAATCAAAATCTCTTCACTTTAGCGTTAGGCAGACTTTTTAGACAAGGAGCAAAAAAGCAGTCACATTCTTTACCAAAATATCACAAAAATAATCTTAAGGCAGCATGCTAAAATTCTTCTCCTTTGAAACCTCTTGAGCCAGGCCCCCACAGTTCATCAGATCACACTCAGCACCACTGTCTTCTATGCCCCTACTAGTATGGTCCATTAAGCAGTGTTTAAAGCATTCCACTGCTTTCCTAACACAAACTTCTAAATTCCAAATTCTTCCAAATAAAAGCATGGTCAGGCCTATCACAGCAATACCTGAGTCCCTGGTACAATCTTGTCTTACTTAGAGTTTCTATTGCTTTGAAAAGATACTATTATCACAGGAATTCTTTTACAGGAAAACATTTCACTGGGGCAAGCTTATGGTCCAGAGGTTTAGAGCACTATCATCAGGGAAGATGGCATGCAGGAAGACATGGTGCTGGAGAAGAAGTTGAGAGTTCTACATCCTGACCCTTAGACAACAGAAAATGAACTGTGACATGGGGCATGGCTTGATTATATGAAACCTCAAAATCAGTCTCCAGCAAGGTCACAACAAACTCCAACAAAGCCATACCTCCTAGTAATGCCATTCCCAGTGGGGGCCATTTTCATTCAGACTGTCACACTGGATGAAAGATTATGAAGTGAATTTTACTTTGTTTTAAAAATGAATTTCGAATTAATGGATTTTTGGCAAAAGACCTGTATAGACTGCCAATAGGAATTAGAACACCTTTAATAACAGCTTTCTTCATTTCCAACCCTTCTAAAAACATAATTGGTATTAAGAGGATTTATAACTGAAAATAGCACTTTCAGTGCAAAACATGCAACTGGATATTTTAATGAATAGATGAATAGACATCTTCTACTGCTTTAGGTTGAATCTCTTCTGGTTCATACTTAGTCTACAGATGTGTGTGTGTGTGTGTGTGTGTGTGTGTGTGTGTGTGTGTGTGTGTGTGATATGTGTCCTGAGGGGCATGCAGATCAGAGAAGACATGTTTCAGGAGGCAGTTATTACCTTCCCTTGTGTAGATTCTTCATTTTGAACTGTGTTGTGAGACTGGATAGCAAATACCTGTACCCTGAGATCCATGTCACTAGTCCTATTGATACATTTTTTATCTAAATATGCATCTAACATAACTTGTTAGTCATGGAAAAGAAAATTATAAGGTATATTTTTACATCTGTGGTGGTTTGAATAAGATGTCACAAATAAGCTCATATATTTGAATATTTATCAACAGGGAGTGGAACCATTCACTATAAACTGTGCTAGCAAGTTGTATATTCTACATCTTGGCTTGACAAAACTTCACAGACAATGCCCATGCTGTTAACCTGACATGTGCTGATGGGCAAATGTGGTACATTTGTATGAGTTGGATTTTGTGGCCATACCTGCAAACTCAGAAACAAAGGGGGACATCACCTTTTCCCATGTGAAACTTGACATAGGTTTCTGCAAGACCCACTTTTCTGTTTTGCATTCCAGAATTTTCCAGAAGACTTTTTTTAGTGACTCAGAAAGAATGCTTACCATTCTGGCACTGGGCACCAAAGAATCCATCAGGGCAGAGGCAAGTGTTGGGCTTGTAACACGAACCACCATTGAGGCAAACAGGATCACACAGAGCTAATGAACAAAAGGAAGAAGAGAGATCACAAAGTGCTGTTACTTTGAAACTGAATGTGGCACAGAAGTACGGAAGGCAGCACAATGATATATATTCAACTACAAGTAAAAATAGCCTGTACTGGCAAATGGATGGCATTAGAAGAAACCATCCTGAGTGAGGTAACCCAGTCACAAAAAAACAAACATGGTATGTACTCACTCATATATGGATTTTAGACATGGATCAGGGGAGTCTCAGTCTACAATCCCAGTGCCAGTGAGTTTGGGAAACAGGGAGGTTCCCAAGAGGTATGCATGATATTCCAGAGAAGTGGAATGAGGCAAGATCTCCTGAGCAGATTGGGAACATGGCAGGAGGGGAGAGGGACCCAGGAAAAAGAGAGGGGGTTAAGAGGAGGGGAGAAGAAGACATGGGGGAGCAGGAAGGTTGAGTCGGGGTAAGAATAGAGGCGAGCAGGATGAGAGATAACATAATAGATGGAGTCATTATAGGTTTGAGGAGAAAGCTAACACTAGTGAGATTTCCTGAGATCTACAAGGATAACACCAACTGGCAAACTAAGCAATAGCGGAGAGACTACATTAATAGCCCCTCCCTAATGATAAGGTTTATGACTACCTTATATGCCATCCTAGAACCTTCATCCAGTGACTGATGGAGGCAGAGACAGATACCCACAGTAAAACACAGAACTGAACTCCTGGAACCCAGTGACAGAGATGGAGGAGTGATGAGCATAGGTGTCAAGATGGTGCTGGTGAAACCCACAAAGACAGCTGACTGGACAAGGGGGAGCTATTGAATCCCAGACTGATGGCTGAGAGGCCAACCGGGGACTGATCCAGACTCCGTGAATGTAGTGTCAGTGAGGAGGCCTCAGAAATCTCTGGGACCTTGGGTAGTACATCAGTGTTTACCATGGCGTATGAATGAACTTTGGGAGCCCATTCCACATGGAGGGATGCTCTCTCAGCCTGGACACATGGGGAAGGGCCTAGGTCCTGCCGTGGATGAAATGACAGACTCTGGAGATCCCCCTAGGAGGGCCTCACCCTCCTTGGGGAATGATGTGGGTAATGGGTGGGAGACTGGGGGAGGACTAGTGGAGGGACAAGGGAGGAGGGGTGGGAGAGGGAGCTGGGATTGACATGTGAAGCATGCATGTATGTTTATAAGACATGATTTATTTTAACAAAAATAAAAAAATAAATACAAAAATGTCAATAAATGCATTAATTTCTAACTCAGAAAAAATCGTCTATATTTTAGAATTCAAGAAATGAAAAGAAGCATCATAACTTTGCAATTGCTTTGAATGTATGCCCATTTGTTGCATTAATAATATTAGCAATAAAGCTAAGACTGTGGAGTGAGTGTAGTTAAAATTCAGAGTGCTTCTGGTAATGACCATAGGTTCAGAAAGGGCAACTCAGCAGCACTGACAAATGGGATGAGGTTGTGCTCAAATCTTTGTCGCCTTGCAAATAAACCAGAGCCACTTTGTTCAAGCCCCTTCCATGATCAAAATGGCTGATGTTTGTTTCATCACCTCTATTTTTCGCTGATTGTACTTCTAATTTTCAGCCTAGATTTTTATCCGGACTCTAAGGTGTACTACAGACACAGTTTTGTTCCAAATTCCACTTGCTGGCATCAGTGATGTCTTCATGTCTTATAATATGCGGTTTATTTCTTATCATAAACCAATTTGCTTCATGATCTTACTTTTAAAGAAAATAATAGCATCCCATGTCTTCTTCACTAACAATATGAAACTTGAAATAAGGGCAAGAATCAACTTAATCTTCATTTTCCTTTTCAATAGGCTTCATGTATAACTAGCATATTATGAATGGTGGGTTAAATTTTCACTGGGAAAAGTCATTAGATCACCATAAATTAGAATAAACAGAACAACTGTAAACGTTCCTGCTAAGGAAGCATGTCTTATACTGATAAATAAATGGATTGATATGATAGCTGTGCTTATCATCCAGAATTGAGTATATATTTAATAAAGTAGGATGTCTATGTCCTGATTAAAAAAGAGAGGTTTTTTAAAATTTAAGTTAGAAACAAGCTTGTTTCACATGTCAATCCCAGTTCCCTCTCCCTCCCCTGCTCCCCCACCCACCCCACGAGATGGAGAAATTTCAACAAAGACAGGTGTTCTGTGTTCATATCAGGTAAGCAAATCATGGAAATACAAAGGCAAGATGGTACTGACTAGGAAACATAATGTGTAAGACAGCGTAAGGTTCCAGATAACGGAAACACATGAAGATGAAAGGTAAGAATTTTTAAAATGTACTGTAGATAACCACCTCGTATCATTCTTGTCAGTTCAGTGCGTGACTGTCTGGGATATTTGAAGTTTCTTTCTGTTGATACGTTTATTGTGCACAGTTTTAATTTTTACCTGTACCACAGGTGGGTCCACTCCAGCCAGATCTGCACTGGCAAATATCTGGTGAAACACATTCGCCTCCATTTTCACAGTGCCTGTTACAGACCACTAAGATCACAGAACAAAGACAAAAGAAAGTCAAATTTAGCTCATAACTTCCAAAACCTTCTTGGAATGAATTCGACCACAGAGAAAGGCCAGGATGATTCATACTCTGGCTTAGACGCACTCCGGTTCTCATCTTTGGGTATTTTCATACTGATAGAGATGAAGAACATAGAAAATTATTAGCACTGAATGAGAATTAGTTGTTCAGGGAAATTATTAGTAACTGGTGAACATAATTAAAGATAAATCAAATCAAATAAACATATACAATTGAATAAGTCTGATTTTCACTTATTATAAAGAATAAGTTGCTATTAAGAAACTGGCGTACAAATAGACTTTGAGTGCCCATGCTACAATGTGGGAGGCTCTCTCAGCAGGGACTCTTGGGGGAGGGCCTAGGCCCTGCCCTGGATGAAATGATAGTTACTGGAGATCCACCATGGAGAGCCTCACCCTCCCTGGGGATTAGAGTGGAGACTGGGTGGGAGACTGGGGGACCTGGTGGGGAGGGCGGGGAAGGAGAGGAGGGAGAGGGAGCAGGGATTGGCATGTGAAACAACAAAAAAGAACAAAGAACTTTATCCATTTTTTTTCTTGAGACAGGGTTTCACTATATGTAACTCAGACTACCTCTGAATTCAGGATTCTTCTCTCTCAGCTTCCCAATAACAGGATAACAACCATGACCATCTGAACTTCTCTACCTCATTTCTGGGCACTCCTGGGCCCTTTAAGTTTATCAGCTGTTTTTAGGGTTCAGTTTGCTTTATTTATTGTTAAAACCATCAACTCACCAAAGGGAAAGTTTGTTATAGCAGACTGCAAGAGAGTATTACTTACGTGTTTCACACCTTGGTCCTACAAATCCATAAGCACAAGTGCAGAGATTGCCAGGCAAGCATGTGCCCCCATGTTGGCAAGGAGGGCTACAATGTTCTGCAGACACAGATATTATTAAGTCAGGTTTTATTAATCAGTATATATGCATGTATACAAAAGGCTACAATAAAGCCCCATTATAAGAATAATTTGGAGTAAATTCAGTTCCCTTTTACTGTGTTGTTCTGTAGGGATCCACTACATAAATTTACAATTCCAAATCATTTATCAATCAGCACCATGTTTTGGTTTATAAATGAAAACTATAAAACCCTGTGTAGGTGTGTGAGAGGTTTGTAAAAATTTTGTTTACTAGATTACAACACTTGACCTTCAGCTTCTTCTAAAACGTGAGCACAGACTTATGAATGTCTGTCATAATTTCCATAGTTACTTTCATTTGCTGTTAGTGATTAAGATTTCTGTTAGTCCAAAACTTATTTTGTTTCTTTGTGGCTTTCTTTGTCATTAAATCTAGTCCCAAGAAATACGACACCAACTTCTGGCCTTACAGGCATTGCAGGTACATGGTGCCTGGACACACATCCAGGCAAAATGCACATGCAGTTATATCTCTAAAATGAATTATTTATAATGAATATTTTAAACTGTGAGCTTTTATCCAAGCATTGATGAGTAGTCATTATCATGAACACAGTAAGAAAATTATCTTTTAATGTATTTTCAAGGAAATCACACCATATTTAGTCCCAAATTTGATATATTAATTGGAATTATTACCTTCATCACAGGTTGCTCCACCATGCCCTGGAGGACATTCACAGATGTTAGGCTTAATGCATTTTCCATGTTTTGTGCAAACAGGCTGACAGATGGCTATATAAAAAAAAACCATGGCTTAGAAATATTGATTATCAAATAAAATTTATTATACAAACTAATGAATCATGTAACCTACCAGTTTGGCAGTTGGAACCAGTGTAACCAGGTTTACATTTGCATATGTTTGGGGCAACACATTCCCTGTTTCTTCCACATGAGTGTCTACAAAATGCTGCAAAATTAAGGAAGAATATATAAATTATAGATGAGTTATATATTTATATAGATGAGTTATATATATATACATATATATTCCTTTCAGATTTAGTTATATCAAAAGTAAAGTTTTTTAATGTGAACATTTTAATGAATTATTAAACCACAGCTACTACTTTTAATTATAATTCTTTTCCTTATACTGTTTTCATGATTATAATGATTGAGAAAAGTGATTACTAGACTAAGAGGGAAGAATACTGTGAAGCAAGTATTCCAATAGAGTAAGAAGCAGCCAGCTATGCATTCATGTTGCCGAGTATGATGGAGATGCCTTGAGCATCTTCAGTCATGTGACATATTCCAGTGGGCATCTAACACTTCTCATGTAACCATATACATGAGATGGCTGCATTTATTTGTTAATAATAAAAAATGTTGTGTTTTCTTGCAGGAAAAGGAAAGATGGCTAGTTTTTTTTGTTTTGATTGTTTCTGTTATACCAAGAAGTACTGAAATGTTTGTTTAATTTTAGTTTCAAAACAAAATGAACATTAGCAATAAAAATAACAAAGAAATAACAGAAACAATGACAAAACACCTAAGAAACAGTTTCTCAGTAGTTAGAACCAAAAATGTATTTGTGTTAAACAAAAACAATGACTATACAGGGCAAAGATATAAACCGTACTTGTAAAACTGAAATGGCAGAAAAATTGTTTAAATGTCAAGAGCATTTGAGGAATAACGGAAAGTCGCACTTTGTCAGAACCAGCAATTGAGGTGTTAACTGTCAACTGTGGACCTAAAAGTAACTGGGCCACCATCCCCATCAGGTTGTATTCACGGCTGTGATTCATCTCTTTAGCTGCTTGATGCCAGACAGCCAGATGCACAAAGCTCTGCTCGCTCATCTGTACACACGGAAAACAACACTCAGTAGGAGTGGTTGCTCTAGATTATATGATGGTTCAAATAGAATGTTGTTATTGCACTTAGAATAGGGAAGGAATCACGGTTTTAATAATATGGTAAGGATATATTGTAACAGTAACAGTATTTTAAAAAGAACACTTCAGAAAACCTACTTGTTCCAAAATGTATTAAATGAAACAGAATGAGGTGAAATCAGCAAGTAGAGAAGGATAACTGCTTAATTACTTAGGCGCTATCTTCACTGTATGTTCTGAAAAATTTCACAGTACCTCTACAGTTGATCCCATCTCCATAGTAGCCAACGGGGCAGCGTCCACACTTGATGTGACCATCTTTGGTTGGCACACAGGAAACACCAGGGAAACAAGATGATTCTGTGCAATTTGATGTTTTGCTTGATCCAAACTTCTCTGTCAACATAGTGATTTCTTCAGTGGTCAGTGATGTAAACTCAGGCTGAGTGAAACCTTGCAAAGGTTGGCTTGTTGGACCGTTGTGCCCTGCTATCTCTGTTTGAGCAGTGCTGTATATAGCATCTCTTATTTGCCCAAAAGAACTGTTAGGAGTGCCAGTGTATGCAGGAATTTCTAGCCCCTTGAGAGTAAGATTTGTATTGAGAATGTGATCCGCATGCTCATGAGCCGGTGTCTGATGAGAAGCAAGCTTCTTTGTACTATCCATTTGAGCTGTAACCGATTTTATCATCGTCAAGTGAGAGGTACCTATTGAGTGTGAGAACTCATTGATATTTGTCGCAGGACTCTGAGTAAAACTTGGCTCATTTGATGGTGACTGAAAGCTCAAATCTAAACAAAAACAAAAAAGATGAATGGAAATTTTCGTCAGAATGTTTACTGATAGTCTATGATAGCCACAATTTGGTGCCAAGGTAGTCATTCTTTTATGTATGGTTTATAACATGAAAGATTAGGAATTATAAAGTAATGAAAAGTTATCATAGTGTTCCAGCCTTCAAGGATGGTGTGACCTATTTAGATACACAAGGTAACACAGAAAGTGAGCTATGAAAAAGCATCCCTGAAATTTCCTTTGTTCATTTTTCTATAATATATACCTAAGGATTTAGGAGATTAGCAAGTATAAGAATGCATTTCCAGTTGAATTTATATAACCCTTAAGTTGTATTTCTAAAAATAAAATTAAGTGAGGGACAACTTGTTAATCTTTGGAAAAACATTTGAGAAGCACTCTGCATTAGTCTTGAACCAAGACCATTACCTACTGGGGGCATTTCCATCTACTGGCCTACCAGATATCATGTTTTGGAAGTTTTCCATCCTCTTCTTTAATTGCTCTTTTATCAGGCCTAATGAGAACCACAGTTCTTATAGTAAAGACCTTTAAAAACTGTTTCAACTGTAAATCAGTACATGAAGTATATCCACGTTAAACTATTGCAAACCAAACCAATGAATCATCTAAGAGTCATGAATCACTTGAATTCAATTCTTTGCAAATTAGATCAAAGACATGGTTAGGATATTATTCTTTTTTTCCCACCAAACCCTCAGATGTAGAATGATCTGTATGCCTGAAAACTCATCTGTAAAAGCGTAAATCCTCAACACGGTTGTGTTTGGAGAGAAGGCCCTTCTAAACGGAATTCTCGTTATGTAAGGTAAGAAGAGTAAATGTCTGATCTAAGAAATAGTCCCCCTGGGCCGGGCGGTGGTGGCGCACACCTTTAATCCCAGCACTCGGGAGGCAGAGGCAGGCGGATCTCTGTGAGTTCGAGGCTGGGCTGGACCGATAGCCTCCGAAACAATACAGAGAAACCCTGTCTCGTAAAAACCAAAAAAAAAAAAAAAAAAAAAAAAAAAAGAAATAGTCCCCCTGAGAAGGGGAGGAGGTACCAGAAAATCCCATGCATTCCAAGAAGAAAGACTCAGTGCGGACACGTCTGTCTGCTAGCCAAGAAGACAGTTTCCCTGAAGTCAGCCAGACCAGGTCCTGACTTTGAACTTCCCGATGCTAGAATTAGAATTATCAAAAAAACCCAATGTATTTTGTGTTGCATTATACAATTCTTCCTTTCTACAAAATAAAAATACCACAGGGGTAATTACTTCACTCTTATGGAAAACAAATGGGAGTTTGGTACTGACTTTCTCACTTGTTACCTCGACAGATAGGCCCACCATGATATAAAGATTGGGTGACCAATTTCCCATAGAAAGCAGATCTTTATACACTTAGTTGTACGACAAATATTGTTCCTTAATGCTGTCTCCTAGAATTCACTTTTAAAATCCTGATGTCCCTTAGTTTCTTTTCCCCACTTTCATCTAGAAATCTGTCTCCTGGAATAATAATAGTAAGAGTTGCATTTGCTACTTAGTCCTCTCTGACTGTCACATGCATATTGTGTAGTCTCTCTCTATCCAGACTCTGTCCTTCCTGGCAGGAATGATGCCCTACGTAGTACTCTTGTGCGTTCCTCAGGCAATGCTTTCAAAATACAAAAGGCATCTTGTAGGCACCAGGGAGTTCCTAATCATATTTCTTTCTACCACGGGATGATCTATTAAGTGGGAGGACATATGTGATATCCTTCTGTATCCTGTGCATCTAGTTCTACATGCAACATGATGCATACATACTGAAGGAACATGTGAGTAGAAAAAAATGCAGTTGTGGGACCCAAATTAGATAAACGCCGCACAATTCATAGCAGCAAGCAGGAGCTTTTACCATGACATATGTTCCCATCACCGTAAAATCCGTTTGGACATGAGCCACAGTGATAAGAGCCAAAGATATTGATGCACTCCACACTTGGGAAACAAGGCCAGGATTCACACTCATCAACATCTGACTCACAGTTTTTGCCTACAAGAAACACAGACAAAAAGTTCTATTTATTTAATTTGAAATATATGTCTAACATCCCATTGTTTGGTTGCTTGTACTCATGCTTTAGTCTGTTGAAATTTTAGAAATAGTTTGGTATGTAGACTAGGCTGGCCTGGTACTAACTAAAATGTGGGATACTCCTGCCTCTTGAGTTCTAGGGTTACAAACACATCCCATCACACCTGGTAGGTTCTCTTACTCTTCATTTAGCAAATCCAAACCTCCGCTGAGGAAAAAATGTACTCTTTATTTAAAACCTACTATGAAATCATTTATACTTCTTTTAATAATAAACTCAAGTCTTCACACACCTAAATTTGTTTTTCTGTAAGGAAAGCGAGTAACCTCATCATTATGGAGGGTCAGGTAGGACCTTGAGTTGATTAGCATAAGTAGGATATCCAGATCTGTTTCAAGAAACAGTCTATTGATAACTGAGGTAAGAATTACAGTATATAGCATAATTATATGCCATATAACTAGAGAATTTGTACTTTTCATAGAAAACTCTAAGTTTTGGAGTATTGCTTGCTTATGCTAAGGATAATCTGTTGAGTCAAAATGCTCACTCTGAGAATTTTAATTTTATATGTTAAGAAAGTCAAGATTTTATCAACAAGGTATTTTGAGATGATATAGTGCCCTTTGATAAGCTTAGCATCTTATTTGGATGAATAAATTCATATTATGACTAGATAATGGACCTTGTTATAAACATATCTCTGAGGCAATTGATATTTGGACATTTCCAAATATAGTCTGTAACACAACACAAAAGAATTTGTCTACATTCATATATCTAAGTGATAATTTTAAAATAAAAAGATTAAAACACAAGTGAATATTCTGCTTTGTTTATATATTTTAAAACCGATATAGTTCAGAAAAGTCAGCTCAATGGCTATATTAATTAATTTAATCATTACATCTATTTAAGTGAAGAGCTATTTATGTAAAACCATTGAATCTTTGATAACATAAACACTTAATTGTTTTTATGTCTTTAATTCTGGAACCCATCATTTTAGGAGAAGTAATGAATTAGTGAATATGCTAGCATTTCATTTGTATCCATTCTGATTTAACCCATGATATCTCTAAGTTAGCAAATTATTATAAAGCATTTCTTACATGATAATATTTGTTTTCTCCATGAAATAATTTTTATTATTCTATGATATATATGTAAATGTTTCTCTTTTTAACAAAATAAAATACAAGATAAAACAAAAATCATCACATCAAAGTTTGACAAGGCAATCCAACAGAAGGAAATTAACCCCTAAGAAAAGTACAGGAATTAGAGACCCACTCGTTCACATATTAAGAAGTTCCATAAAAATTCTAAATTGAAAACTATAATATATACTTAGATGACCTAGTGCAGAACAATCTAAATTCTGTGATTTCTGCTTCAGTCTCTATAAATTCATATAAGCATTGTTCAGCTGATTTAGAGGACCTCTATCCCCTCTGGTTTCCACACTCCTCCTGCCTTCTTTCTACAGGGTTCTCTGGTCTAAATTATATTTCAACATCAATACACATAAATGTGTTTTTACTTGCAAAATAGATGCAGAAAATGCCTATAAACATGCAGTAGACTTTCGTTGATTGCAGTCAGATTTACAAATTAGACAAAATTGCAAGAATGTATGAAAGCAAAATTGCAAATGCTTATGAAAGTATTTAAAATAATTAAACAAATCATAATTAAACAATTAAAAATATTCAGGATATAAGTAGTGTGCATGTCTGTGATACTTTTTGACAGACTTTTAAAAATATGCACCAAAAGCCAGGCATTGATAGAGCACGTCTTTAATCCCAGCACAAGAGCCTCCAAAACAATACAGAGAAACCCCTGTCTCGAAAAAACAAAACAAAACAAAAAATCTTAAAAAAGAACATAGATTTGCATGGTTCCACAAATAGTATTACAAGATGTTTTTCCTTCTAATACATTCACATTCTCATTTGCTTCATAATGAACCCATACTGACCTGTCAGCTCAGGAGGACAGTCACAAGAGTAAGTGTTTAAGCCTCTAATACATTTGCCAATGCCACAAGGATTTGATTGGCATCCGCTGGCGTCAACTTCACAAAGATCACCATGGAAACCAGGCAAACAGACACACAGGTACGCTCCACTTCCTGAAGGAAATTTCCTGTCAGGCACACATGAGCCACCATTCAAGCAGTCACAAGACTTCACAGTCACCTACAAAAGACAAACAATAAATGCCTTACTGTTTAATAAAATTATGTGTAGTTAATGGCCCATGAAATCATGATAGGCATGATGGCTTATGTATATGTATAATCAAATTATGTATCTCTACAAAATGCTAGTTTAAAAAAATTGCATCCACTCTCAAAAGCACAACTGAAATATATATGCCAGGGGAATACTTTTAGAAATGTTCCACGTAGAACAATTTATCTTTATTTTCTAATTTTTAAAATAGATTTTATTTGGTTCAGAGTGATCTTTGATTTATAGTCCTCCTTCCTCAGATGTTTTAGGTATGTAACACCATACATACCCCAAGGATAGAATAATAAATTTCTATATTGCAAACAGAACACTAGGAAACAAAATAAAAAATGTTGAGGAAGTCAGCACCTATGTATCCTCAATATAAGAGCAGAACATAACTTCAGTTTCCAGGTTAATATGACCAAACACAATTACTATTCATCACATGTGTCTGTGTGAAAGCACACATGCCAAACTTCAAAAACACATGCACACCACAAAAAGTTTATAAGAATTCATGCCTGATGACTGTCATACTACATATATCAATAAGGGAAAATTGTCAATTAGTTCTTTCATGTCTTCTTTCTATATTTTTGGTTTCTAATTCAGCATCCATGAGTCTTTCCTTTTATGGAAAAGGCATAATTATCAATCTTGTTTTAGTTAGGTCTTCCACGGGAGTAGAAATGAGTGAGATTCTCACCCTTGTCTATCAAGTACAGAGTACAATGTCAGCTATCAGTTTAGACCCATGATTAAGAATCTCTCTAAGGTGCTATGCTGCTACAAGCAACAGTCGGACATGCAACACTGAGTGACGTCATTGCTCTCTGATATTAAGACTATGTCTTGTGCTTAGATTTAAAATAAAGTGGTTGTATTTATAAAAGATCCAGTGACATGTATAAAGTCATAACTATGACCTCCAATGTGACTGTAGTTTCAGTCTCACAGTCATCCCTAAGACGGAGAATGAATCTCTGAGGAGTCAGTGACTCTGTTTTCCACGTAAGAAGTCCTCCAGAGGAAACGCCTGCTCCATCAGGACCAGAATCCAATGTAAAATTTATTTCAGAGCCTTCCAGATCCCAGGCCATGAGCTGGTATTCAAAGTCTTCTCCATAAAATGTCTGTAATTTATTTTGCAGTGCTTGAATCATGGGAGGCTGGTTATCTGTAATGGAGAAAGCAGGAAGATAGAGAAGTATGATTCTGATGGCTCCAATAGGGACAAGAGTTTAGTAAGGACTTAACTGCTTAAAGTTCTATTAATTGCTTTGTTGTTGTTGTTGTTATTTAAATATTATTCCATTCTGTGTAAATGTAAACATAACTGGCAGGTTCAGGGTCTGTTTTGCCAAGCAAATCTGTAAAGACTTTGTGTACTGCATAAAACATACAAGTAGCTTTCCACTCTTTGGGTTGGAAACACTCCTCCTTTGTGTTATATAACTTCGTGTTGACCTTTCCACTGCCTGGGGATCCTGGGCACACTTAGACTCTCTATCTGTGTGCAGTTGCTCTTACAGCTCACTTTCTCCCATTGCTTCCTGTGACTACACCCTCCATCCGAATCCTTAAGGTTTCTCTAGTCTACATAATTCCCCACTTGTAACAATTGGGAGTGAAGAGTCAGACCAAACTCCTGTTCCTCCCAGTCTCTTCCAGTGGCCAAGCTCACTCCCTAGTGAAGCTGTGTCAGGAATATGGAGTGTTCCCTTTATATGCAGAAAGCATATTGTACATCCCTCACCTGCTAGCTAAACATAAGTAAGAAAACCAACCTCACTATCGTGTCTGGGTTGCAAGCGCATTATGTGTGCATGGGACGCACTGATGCCAAGAGACCCCAGTTACGGCTCCCTGTCTATCACTGTGTACTTTCAAAAGCACCTTCACTATTGATCTTATTACTCTCATCCTCCACAGGAGGTTTATTTTAAGATCCCATATACCACTGAACACTATGGCTTATTTACAAATCTGTCATACTATAGTCCTTAAAAGACAATCCAGCACCCCTTCATGATAAAGGTCCTAGAGAGATCAGGGATAACAGGAATGTACCTGAATATAATAAAAGCAATATACAGTAAACCAACAGCTAACATCAAACTAAATGGAGAGAAACTCAAAGCAATTCCTCTAAAATCAGGAACAAGACAAGGCTGTCCACTCACTCCATATCTCTTCAATATTGTACTGGAAGTTCTAGCTACAGCAATAAGACAACAAAAGGAGATAAAGGGGATACAAATAGGAAAAGAAGAAGTCAAATTTTCACTATTTGCAGATGATATGATAGTTTACATAAGTGACCCAAAAAACTCCACAAGGATACTCCTAGAGCTGATAAACACCTTCAGCAATGTGGCAGGATACAAGGTAAACTCAAAAAAATCAGTGGCCCTATTATATACAGATGATGAAGTGACTGAGAAAGAAATCAGAGAAACATCACCCTTTACAATAGCCAAAAACAGCATCAAATATCTGGGGATAATGTTAACCAAGGAAGTGAAAGACCTGTATATCAAGAACTTTGTGTCCTTAAAGAAAGAAATCAAAGAAGATACCAGAAAATGGAAAGATCTCCCATGCTCTTGGATTGGTAGGATCAACATAATAAAAATGGCAATCTTGCCAAAAGCAGTCTACAGATTCAAGGCAATCCCTATCAAAATTCCATCACAATTCTTCAAGGACCTGGAAAGAACATTAATCAACTTTATATGGAAAAACAAAAGGCCCAGGATAGCCAAAACAACCCTATACAATAAAGGAACTTCAGGAGGCATCACCATACCTGACTTCAAGCTCTATTATAGAGCATAGTCCTGAAAACAGCTTGGTATTGGCACTAAAATAGGCAGGTAGACCAAGGGAACCGAATCGAAAGCCCTAATTTTAACCCACACACCTATGAACACTTGATTTTGACAAAGAAGCTAAAACTGTACAATGGAAAAAAGAAAGCATCTTCAACAAATGGTGCTGGCATAACTGGGTACTGGTATGCAGAAGACTGCAGATAGATCCATGTTTATTGCCTTGCACAAAACTTAAGTCCAAATGGATCAAAGATCTCAACATAAATCCAGCCACACTGAAACTTTTAGGAGAGAAAGTGGGAGATACTATTCAACGAGTTGGTACAGGAGACCACTTCCTAAACATAACAACAGTGGCACAGGCACTGAGATCGACAATTAACAAATGGGACCTTCTGAAACTAAAAAGCTTCTCTAATGCAAAGGACACAGTCAAAAAGACAAAAAGGCAGGCCACAGAATGGGAAAAGATATTCACTAACCCTACATCTGACAGAGGGCTAATCTCCAAAATTTACAAAGAACTCAAGAAACAAGTCTCCAAAACACCAAAGGATCCAATTAAAAGGTGGGGTACAGAACTAAATAGAGAATTCTCAAGAGAGGAGTCTAAAATGGCCAAGAGACACTTAAGAAAGTGCTCAACATCCTTAGCCATCAGGGAAATGCAAATCAAAACAACTCTGAGATACCATCTTACTCCTGTCAGAATGGTTAAAATCAAAAACACCGAAGACAATTTATGCTGGAGAGGATGTGGAGAGAGAGGAACACTCCTCCACTGCTGGTGGGAGTGCCAACTCATACAGCCTCTTTGGAAATCAGTATGGAGATTCCTCAGGAAAATGGGAATTAATATACCACTAGACCCAGCAATTCCACTCTTAGGCATATATCCAAATGAGGCAAGTTCATACAACAAGGGCATCTGCTCCACTATGTTCATAGCAGCATTATTTGTAATAGCCAGAACCTGGAAGCAACCTAGATGCCCCTCAACTGAAGAGTGGATAGAGAAAATGTGGTACATTTACACAATGGACTATTACTCAGCAGAAAAAACAATGGAATCTTGAAATTCGCAGGGAAATGGATAGCACTGGAAGAAACCATCCTGAGTGAGGTAACCCAGTCACAAAAAGACAAACATGGTATGTACTCACTCATATATGGATTTTAGACATGGATCAGGATAGTGCCAGTCTGCACTTCCACTGATAGAGAGTCTGGGAAACAGGAAAGAACCTAAAAGATATGCATATATGCATAGTACCCAAGAGAAGAGGATGGAGACAAGATCCTCTGAATGGATGGGGAACACAGCGAGGGGTGGGGGGGAGTGGGACCTGGGAAGAAGAGAGGGGGTGAAGAGGAAGAGAGTTGGTCATGGGGGAACAGGAAGTTGAGGGGGTGCGGGTAGAATAGGGGGAAGAGGGAATCATAGGATCGAATACAGATCAGGCACCAGAGTGACCTCGAGTGATCTAAAGGGATAACACCAATTGGCAAGCTAATCAATAGTGGAGAGACCACCTCGAATGCCCATTCCTGATAATGAACTTGATGTCTATAACCATCCGGGAGCCTCCATCCTGTGACTGATGGAAGCAGAGGCAAACACACAATTAATCACTGAACTGAACCCAAGGAACCCAGTGAAAGAGAGAGAGGAGTGATGAGCAAATTGGCAAAGATTGGGCTGGCAAAACCAGCAGAGACAGCTGATCTGAACAGTGGAGAGCTCTTGGACCCCAGACCGACAGTGGGGAGGCCAGTATGGGACTGATCTGGAACCCCCAAATGTGAGTGTCAGCGAGAAGGCCTGGGCAACCTATGGGGCCCTGAGTTGTGGATCAGTGTCTATCCCTGGATTACAAACAGTCATCGTGTGCCTATAGCACAAAGAGGGATGCTCTCTCAGTCTGGACTCTTAGGGGAGTGCCTGGACCCTACCCAGAGTGAAGTGACAGACTCTAGATATCCCCTATGTGGAAGGATTTGGCAATAGGGTGGGAGGGTGGGGGGGAAGGGGAGTGTGGGAGGAGGGGAGGGAGAGGGAACTGGGATTGACATGTAAAACAAGCTATTTAAAATTAAAATAAAAAATGATAAATAAAAAAATTCACAATAAATGTAAAATTAGAAAAAAAAAGACAGACTCCAACTCAGAAGGTAGTCTCCATTTTCTTTATCTCTTTCACCAGTATTTCCTCTAATTTTCGTTGGCTTTGGCTAATATTCTGTAAATCTTGATCTTAAGTAGTAAATATGATGTTATCTACCAAAGCAACAGAGTTTACATACTCAATGATATTTATGAGATCATAAACTGTTGTTAAATATAAAGTTTTATTGCTTATAAAAAGTTATATAGTCTCTGAGAATCATGTCTTGCTGTATCTTCTTTACTAATCCATGTGGCTAATAACACCTGATCACCACAGGAGGAAAGAAATAAGGCACTCATATAAAATTACCATAGTACTTGGGAAAGTGAAATTATGTCCATGTGACCACAATTTGTGCTATTATTTAAATGGAACACTGTATCCTAAATTTATCTGTACACGGGATTATATTGATAGAATCATAGAAGAAGAGTGTTGAAAAGCACTTTATAGAGTACTGAGTCTAAACACTTTAAACAACAAATGGCATATTCATGTCTGTTGGAGCTGAAATACCTAAATTCTTTGTCATAAAATAGAACAAAGTGAAGCTAGACTTCGAAAATGGCGTAAATTAAGAATTCCCTTTTCTTTCTTCCATGAGCAATCCAAATACTGTTTCATTATTAAATGTTAAATATATATCTTTAATCTATTACAGTATGATAATAAAAATTACATATACATGTATCACTTAACATTACAATAAATTCTAAGAAATATGTTGTTAATCATTTTTATCATGTTATCATGTAGTGCATAGTCACAAATTAAGACAGCTATGATATTATTTGGTAATATAAACACATGCAAAGCCTACTGTTAACCAAAATGTTATTTGGTGTTAGGGATCATGTATAAAACCATGTTCTTGTCTTTTGTTTTCTTAAAGCAAGGAAATTTATAAAGTAATGAAAGATCCTGAATTAAATATGTTGTTCATCCATCTGAAATACACCAGTATCAGTTACAGCTTAAAATTACCTTAAAACTTTGGTATAAGAAATGGTTGAATTAGCAAAGAAGACTTACTGTCTAAAAATGACCAAGTAGAGTTTGATATTTGGGGTCTACAAATCAAACAAGAGCTGGTAGCCTTTTTATCCCCTTCAGTGTAGCAGAAACCATCAATAACACAAATATTATCCTAGTGGAATTTGAAAAAAGAAATTATCAATAAGAAATCCTATGCCTAATACACAGAAGCTAGAAACAGAAAGAGCAGCATATATACTTGGATTTGGAAAGAGTTTCATAAACTCAACATGAATACCTCTTTGAAAACAAATTATTCGTAATATGTAAAACTCAATAGAACTTATTAATTGGAGGAATAAAAAAAATGAAGGTAAGCCGTGAGATACTATTACATGGCTCATGAATAGCAGCAAGTACAGCCAACATTTTTGTCTGACAGCTCCTCCTGGCAGTGGTTTATTAATAAAAATGGCATTTTTCTGTACATCTGAAAGAATGACATTAATTTATAGTTACCTTCCGTTTCCCTTTGTCTCCTACTCTGTCCTTTAATTCCACTCCTATCCCAGATTCATGGCATAATTATCTTCACTGCATAGTAGATACAGTTACAACACATCCCTGAAAGTGATGCTGCCACAAAGAGAAAGCAGTGGAGTGCAATAGTCCCTTAACTTCCTCAAAAGATTCACATCTATTTATCATTATTGCTTGTTTCGTAACAAATCTATTGATACCATTTACAACTCTACAAGACAGAACAAATAGCTGAGAGGACATGACAACCTTGGAAATCATCATTGACAGTGAATTTAAATAATCAGAAGCAAAATATTCCAAATAAAATAAAAACAAATCACTTTCTACAACTAAAATTTCTTGTTGATATAATCTGAATGCTTATCTCAAGAAAAAAATAAAGAGTACAAACTGTTTTTTCACATGTATTGATACTAGTTTTATGTTGTTCGGTTTAGAGGAGTCGAATGATATTAGGTCCACAGTATTTACCATGTAAGTAATCAATTTTCATGTGACAAAGCCCTCTAGGTAACCAAAGAAAATAGCAAAAACAGACAAAACTACAACTTATAGTAAAAGCATTAGATAAATTTTATTAACCCATTTTTAATACTAGCCATTTGCTACAGAAAGGACTAGTTAATCACAAAGACAAAACGTAATGAAAAAATATTATTTATACAGGAGAAACAATGTACATAAGACCACACTAATGAATGATTCAATATTATTTTCCTTCTCTAATTCTTTGGGAGGAGTACAGAGAAGAGGGGCTGAGTCTCATATAGTTCAGGCTTTCCTCTATGATGGGACAACCTTAAACTTCTGATCTTCCTGACTCCATCTCCCAAGTGAGAGAATTACAGCTATCTGCTATTTTCTCAAGCTACTCCTTTAGTGTTTCAGAGAGAAAATATTCTTCCACTTTAACAAGAGTCACAAAAAATGATTAATTTTAATTAGACTAACAGAAATGTGAGGTAAGAATTTGTCCATGTCATTCTAGCATAAGGTTGGAAAAGTACAATAATATGCCAAAGACATTGAATATATGTAATATATGCTATGAAAATGAGATGCATACCTTCATAATGCATGAGTCAATTTCACTGGGACCACAAACTTGACAAGCACCATCATATATAGTCATTATCTTGGGATTACTGAATGCATAGCCATCATTAGATACCTGTGAGATATAGTTTTACAATATGATTATTTCTTGTAAACATTGCCTCATCAATTTACTATGAAATTTTATTTATGCATTAAATGATATCTTTTACTTGTTACCTTTAATTGCAACTTTGCAAAGGATTTCTCCCCCATCAGATCCGTGGTATCAGAATGCTGGATATCTGTTGGCAGTTGACAATCAACAATTCCACTGTCTTGAAAGACTGTCTGTGTGTACAGACTTTCTCCAGGTACCCATTTACTACCATTATACTGAAGGTATAATGAAAAGTCAATTAACTACTCCTAAATTGTGGATATATTTTTGTTAGTAAATTACATATAGTCAACATTGAAATATTAAAACGTATATCCCATACTATGGGATAAATAATTAGAAAAAATCACATTGAAAGTAAGTTTTATTCAAAATAATAAGAAATATACATTATAATTTGGTAATAAATAAACCTCTCAAAGCATGCATTACTTACAGGTTCAACCCTTAAAAGTTGCCAAGGTTGTTCATATATAATTATTCACCAAACAATGGATTTCAAAGCAAGAGGAAAAGCAATGGAGTATGTAGTTGGAACATGGTAGATTAATTTTTCATGTAAGAGTTTCTTCTCCAAAATTTCCTAAATTCATCTCCTTGGACCATATTTCCAGTTGGTACCTACTGAGGGTTTATGCTCTTATATTACCATTGACTGGTCCAGAGGAATAACTAAGACAGGTCAGTGCTTGAACTATTTGAGATATTTTAGCTTTAGTAATGTTAAAATGAAGCCTACAAAAAAAGTAGGACTAAAACTAGATGTGCATTTATATAAATTTTCATACACTAATTTTTTGTGGTGTCCAAGTCCGAAGTTAAAGATTTTTCCCCTGAGGATTCAGCAACATTCTTTTCTTCAAGTCTCTAAAAAATGTACTATCTTCAGTAAAATGTCTCTTTTTGCTTAATCTAGTTTATGTCATTTGAGTGAATTCTAGCCAGTTTCTCCTACTTAATGCCAATGGGATAAAATACATGTTGTATATTATTTTATGGACTGTAAAATGTCTTGGTGTGTGAAGAGGAAGAGGCAGAATAATTTTCTGAGCACTGACAGCTATATTGAAAACTAGAATGACATAGTTTGTTGACAACATTTGAATTCACATTTATAAAACCACATTTTGATTGCACAAAGATTTTTAAACATGTAGCATTGGTCACACAACTTGATAGTGCCTCAGCATTTTAGGTCAGCAGGAGAGGGGAAGGACAGAGAGAGACATCTCTCCAGTTTGTGTGGTATAGAGTCTACCTATCTTGAAGACTTGGTGATTAACAGCCTGAAGTTCTGCAGATATCTATAGTCATAGAGGAGAAGTCTTTTATAGCAAATATGTCAGTGGATTCCTTTAGCAGAGAAGGAATGACAGGAATGTTTCAAGGCTCTCATTATAGCCATGCTTAAGGGATGTAAGGTCACTTTATTTCCTGTGAGAAATCAGACTGCAGGCAATTATTCATCCTTAAGATAAGAGTTCTATCCCTCTATGAAAAAGGAGACCCCAAGTGATGAATATAGTTCCACCTTCTTTATATTCAATATTTTGTGAGTGCTTATTGTGTGCTGAAGATATTTTTAAGTTAAGTATTTTAATTTTTGAGAATTTCATACATGTGTATCATATGTAAGCCATATCTATCCAATTCCATTTGTCTAGACTTATATACATACACATACTTGAACTGGTAATCTTATGAGGGAAAACACAACAGGAAAGCTACAGAGTATATCATTTTGTTTTGATAACTGAGATTGAGATAAGGTGTAACACAAAAGCCCAAATCTAATCTAATCTAGTCAAGCAGTCTTCAGAGGAGGGGGTTATACTTCTCTCTTCCTGGAGGATGAAGAGAGGAATTCAATGTAGCTGGGGAGATCAGTATGTGAAAAACAAGGAGGTAAAAACCATCATGATCTGTAGTACAGCAAGAAGAGGATAAGGGGAGGTTTAAGCTGCCCACAGAAGGGGACAAGACCTAGTTTAGAAAGCCCTCTGTTCACAGGGTTGCTGGTTGGACTTGATCCTATGCATCAGCAGCTTAAATGCTGACTTGGCTTTTTGTGGAAAGAATGAAAGGATGGATCAAATGGCTTATTTCTAGACTAAGAATTGTGTAAAATTATTACTCTAACAGTAGAAAAGAGCTGTAAGCAGTGATATTCTATTCTTTAAATAACATAGGAAGTTTTTATTTGTACAAAAGAAATATAGTGAGGGCTAACCAGAAACTTACAGTGGGCACACAGATAAGGATGTGGAGAAAAGAGTATAAAAATTAGAGGTAATGGGAACCCATTACTCAGAACAATAAAGGACAATGGGAAAAAATGAGTGACAGGGAAGAAATGAACAATTCTCTGTAAACATCTTTCAGACAGATCCAACTATTAGAATTATGATACTGCTTCAGATATTCTCTAAATAATTTTTCATGTAAATAAACTAGAATGTGTAGGAAACTCAAAGAGAAATACAAATATTTAAACTAATTGTATTACAATGAAATAAGTAACTTCTGTGAACAGGAAGGCAAAGAAAATAGAGTGCATCATTTTGGGAAAATCACTTGATGTTATATAATTATGTCTTTTTGTAAATTTGCTTTTCAAAGGTAGAGGATAAAATATCTAAAATTAATATATGTTAATTAATTTATATGTATATACAAAATGACAAATTCATTTATATATTGTGAATGATGAGAACTGTTTTTCACTTGTGAAGAGAAGTGAGACAGATAAGGAAAGGAGACGAGAGTGAACACTGACATTCCATTAGAATCAGAGACATCGTTATCAGCTTTTAAAGATGGCAGATTAGATAAATGGCAAGTAGAGAGATGAAGATGCTGCAGGTAGATGACAGAAACATAGATACATAAATGACAGACAGACAGACAGACAGAGAGATGATAGATGGTAGAAGATGACAGAAAGACATGTGTGCATGCTCTATCCATTGAGAGCATTTTCAAATAATAACTAGCCTGTAATAAATAATGAAATTAGGAGAAGACGTTAGCTTAATTGAAACATAGTACCATTCATCCAAATGAAACCTAGGGCTCTCAAAAAATCTCGAAAGACTATTAAAATTGTGCCAAATTATGCTTCATAAAGAGTGAATCAAGAAGCAATTAAAGTCCAGTTTTATGTTTTATGTTTAGGTGTTAAAATTAGACCTAGGCGATTGGTTTTCCCAGTACCAAGTGGACAGCCTTATAAACATATATATTCAGGCAACATTAAATGCACTCTTATTTGATTGATATGTAATGATAGTAATTAAAAAATAAGAGACCATGATTTGAGAAGAAGCAGTGAGGGGCACATAGGAGAGGTTGGATATAAGAGGAGAGGGAAGCTATGTTTCAATTTTTTAAGATTAGGGATCGCAGAGACTCATTGAACTTCTGTATAACATAAATATTTGTTACGTAGGTCACTCTTGGGTCTGGCAACCAAGTTTACCCCTTTCATTTTCCCATAAGTCACTATAATGTTTAGGGGATTCCAAAATTCCATGTCAGATGTTTGGAAGGGAGATAAGTAAAAATCACAACCCCTAAAAGCATCTAAAACTAAGTACAAAATATACTTTCCAAGAGAATATAAATTTGTAAAACCCTCTTCTGTTTAATCATTTACTACTATCATGAACTCATATTAACAAATCTGCTGAGTCACGAATCTACTCCATTGATACTGAAACCCTAGAGGCTTGGTGCATAACATAATGCATTGAGCATACTTATGCATAACTATATGAGTAAAATATATGCAACAATTATTTCCTTCAGCAAATTCTCAGTATCAGATTCACACTTCACTTCATCAACTTAGAGATAAGAATTAAAAAATATGATTGACTGCTTTAAGTTTCCCACTGTTTCAAGTTAACACCCAAATTTAAAAAGTGTCCTTGCAATAAATATTTTACTTGCATAAAGAAAAGGAAGATCATATAGTTTACACACACACACACACACACACACACACACACACAATGCATAACTGGATGTACTCACAGTCAAACTGAACTATGCTCTGCTTTTGTAACCTTGAGAAACAAATAACTGATGGGGGATGGACTGGGAGATTTTAAAGTCTGCAACCCTCAGTGAGGGAAGTGTGAACAGTGAGCACAATCATCCCCACTGCTACTTTGGAAGGGCATTTTCAGGGATCTCTGTCTCCCACACTCCCTGCCAGATACCTTGGCTAAAAACATTGCCATTCATTGTGCTTTACAACTCAAGAAAGGGAGATGGTTCCATACAACAAGTTTGATATTCTTTTAGTTTGTATTAATGACTGAAAATCGGGACTCAGTTTCTCACACACACAAAAAAATGATATGAAATACTTAGTAAAGTTCACAGGGTACCTTTCGTGAAGAAAATGTTTAGCCATTTTCTTGTAAGTTTTAGTGGGTCAGACGCCCTGAGATACTGCTGGTATCTGGTAGACAAAATGAACCTAAAGAAATCATCAACTAGATTATTTTAAACACTGTATGAGTAGCCTGTGCTTAACATACCTCCAGGTTAGTAACTTCACACTTGATGGACGGTGATTCTTTGAAGCCTTGTCCAAAAACTCTCACGGTAACACAATTCTGTTTCTGAATATCACAGAATCCAGCATTCTCAAGCTCTGTGATTTCAGGACCTGTGTCTTTAGGAAAGAAAATGATAGTTAAACAGCACGTATTTTGTGAATTACATTTAAAAAACACTGCATAATTATTTTGAAGGTCTAAATTAAAAGCATAGGTCAAGTAACATTTAAAAATATACTCAAATTTTACCTATAGTAACTAATCAATTAAACATTTAACAATCTTGCTTTTAAAGAGGTATTGTTAGCCATCAAAAGGAAAACATTGTTGTAATCAATAACTCTTAAACACACATTTCACTGTTTCAGTAATATTTGTTATCAATTAAGGGTGGATGTTAACAAATTGCTACTATCATAAAATAGATCTGTTGGTTTTGTCCCATTGGTTTCTTCCAAATAGATGAGTACAGGTAAAATATGTTGTTTTAATAAAATCGTTTAGTTAGCGGTACAATATTAACATTTCAAAAATTATTTTAGCAGTAGAAAACATATTGAGGTGTATATACACACCTATTCCAGGATCATTCACATTTTTTGTTGTTCGATGATCATAACTATGAGTTTATTAGTCACTGGCAGGGAATGCCTCTCTTAGCACTCAGAGTTAATTGACTTTCATGTGGCTCTTTTTCTGGCTGTGGGCTTAGGGAACACATCTCACCTGTCTCAGAGAGCGCTGCTTGTTAAAATGGATGTGTGCACATGAAACAATTCAGTGGTCTGCTTAAGTCCTGGCAAAACCTAAGCGAATCTAATGGATAACCTTAGGGGACAAATTGTAAGCATATGTACTCAGAATTCTCAAAATCCTCATGAAAAACAGTATATTAGTTTTCTTCTGTCACATTTGTAACACATGTCTATTGACTGATATAGTTACACATAGTCACTACATGAAGCGCATGAATAAAGAAAAGGAATCCCTCATATAACTTAAATTTTATCAGGGAAGGACAAAGATTATTTCAAAAGGGGAAAAACATAAAATGTATATGTATTTTTAGTAATGTGCAGAAATTTCATATTAACTATATTATAGGAGATTTAAAAATGGGGTCACAAAAGGACAAACATGGTATGCACATACTCATATATGGATTTTAAACATGCATTGGGGAATTGCCAGCCTTCAATCCCACAGCTAAACATTGACCTGAATCCCTGGAACCCAGTGACAAAGAGGGAGGAGTGATGAGCAAAGGGGTCAAGACTGGGCTGGTGAAACCCAGAGAAACAGCTGACCTGCACAACGGGGAGCTCTTGGGACCCAGGCTGATAGATGGGAGGCCAGCATGGGACTGATCCAGTCCCCCTGAATGTGGGTGTCAGTGAGGATGCCTGGACAATCTATGGGTCCCTGGGCAGTAGATCAGTATTTATCCCTGGCATACAAACGGACTTTGGGTGTCCATACCACAAAGAGGGATGCTCTCTCAGCCCAGAGTCTTGGGGGAAGGCCTAAGCCCTTCCCTGAATGAAATGACAGACTCTGGAGATCCCTAGAAGGGAGTGGTGATCAGGTGGGGGACTGGGGAGCTGGCAGTGTGGTAAGGGAGGAGGGGAGGGAGACGGGGCTGGGACTGACATGTGAAGCAAGCGTGTTTCCAATTTTAAAAAATGTAATAAAATAAAAAAAATAAAAATGGGGTTACATGAGAAAAACTACTATTTTGGGGACAAGAGCTCCCAAAAATAGACTTTAAGAAAAACAATTTTAAGTAAATGAGTTGAATAACATAAAATAGTGCTTAAGGTATAGTAAATATGAGGTCTAGGAAAAAGGTTATTCCCTGCAGACAGGTGCACAAGCTGTGTGCAAAGACCTTGTGTCTGCTGGGCTTGGCAGTTTCAAGGAACAGCAACAGAGCAGAAAGCAGCTGGAAAGGGTTAACAGTTGTCAGAAAGAGGCCATCAAATGGCAGGGTGCAGTTACAGGGACGTCTGCATTGACTTTGGATAAGATGAAACATTTGCAGGAAGTCATTAAAACATTAACTGATATACTTTTCACTATAGACCTAATTAATACTATGGACAAAGACATTTCCATAATCAGATGCCATCCTCAATATCAAAGTTTCAGAACATTTGCGTACCATATGAGTCACTGCAGTCATAGGAACGGTAGCCTGGGAAACAGGCACAGCCCCAGTCCATACAATGCCCATGGCCGCTGCATAGATCGGGACATTTTAATACTTCGAGAATGCCTCCTATTGACTTCCTGTATTCTTCTATGTTGTATTTTCCTTCCTCTAAAACCCTTCTCTCACATTCATTCTCTAACAAGGCCACTCCTGCCTCTGCCCACCTCACGTCGTCCTTTAGCAGAACATCCTTCACGCACATGCCCATAACATGGTTTAGAGTACTACCAAGAAAGGGAAGACAGAGCCTCCCGATGCTGGAGTTGAATAGGGTCTGCTGGCAAAGAGCCAAGACGCTCGGTTCAGTGAGGCCGGAAGGCGTGGGCCATGATGGGACAAACTCCTGCTGGCTGTCCTCGGTGAGGTCCTCCGGGAAAAAGTAAGACAGCTCTTCCAGGTTGGATTGTCTGAGACTCTGGAAAGCAAACATGGGGAGAAAGGACTTCCAGCTTTGTCGTTTCCATTTGTTTTGTGGTTTCCTCCTTGTCTCCTGGTCCTGTGTGTGCTTCTCATCACTGAAATGTTTCAGTGGGTTCTGTGTCTCATTCCCAGGATGCAGCAAATTTAACTTCAGTTTCGTTAGGTTTGTGTGGGACTTTTCTTGAAGTAAGAAATTCAAATTATTTTCTTCCTTGGTTGCATGAGTGCTTATTTTTCTAAGAAGAGCATCTGAACTGATATATTTTGAGGTGATATCTAGGTCTGGTATCAAGGAAGAGAATTGGATGTGCTTGAGGTCTTTGCAGCTGGAAGCCATTTCTAAGTGAGACTCGCTGTCCAGATGGTTAGAAAGCAGATGCTGTGAGGCTGTTCCCAACAGGCAGCTACAATAGGATGGTTTCACCAGAAATCGTTGAGAAGTTGGTATCTTGTCAAACATGCTTCTTCCAGGTAAAAGCCTTCCAGATGAAAAACATATAGTTACTTGAACAATAATATTATTCTCCATTAATATCTTGTAGAAAAGGCAGAATGTTGAGTGACCACTACATAAACTTCATAGTAGCACAGCAAGAAATGAATAATAGCTTAATTCTCACCTCCACTCATTAATAAATGCAATATAGTTGTTGACATCATCATCAATTTTGATTCCGTTTTTGTCATGGAAATCATTTTCCGGGTTTTCGTCAAAGGTGCCACAAAGCCCCAGTGTGTTCCCGTAGTCTAAACTAGGGACCCTGAGTGTTATACTCATACCCCACTTGCTGAGGTCAGCACGAATGAACGCTCCAGAGGATAACCAAACCTGAAAGCAGAGAAACCAACACTGGGCTGAAAGATGCTGAATTCAGTATGTTAAGAGGCATGCCCGATAAAATGTAAGGAAGTTATTTTTCCGTACATACAAAGAATGAAACACTGATTTTCTTACATGAAAACTTTCCTTTAATAATGCATTTCAAAGCAATGCTTTTTTCCATTATGTTGACTTGAAATTTGGTCACAATTTCAATTTTTTAAATTTTTATTATTACATACAGGAATGTTTTGCCAGCATGTATGTCTGTGTACCGTGTGTGTGCCTGGTACCCTCAGAGGCAAAGAGGGTGTCAGATCCTCTGAGACTGGAGTTGCAGACAGTTGTGACCTGCTATGTAGGTCCTGGGAATTGAATCTGTGTCCTCTGGAAAAGCAGCCAGTGCTCTTAACTATAGAGCCATCCCTTCAGATCACATCATTGAAACAAATGGCCTGTGACTTTTATTAAAATAAATTAAAATGTGATATTGTATGTGAATGTAACAGTTAAAACTAATAAAGGCAAGATTAACAAAGTCACATTACAGATAACTGTAAAACAATACAGAACTGCACTGCCAAGTCATTAATTTACCCTAATAAACATGTTTTGAGAAGAGCACAACTCCTTGTAGAGAACCAGTATTCTTTTGCTGCCAGTAGGCAAATAGAATCAATAGTCAAGTTATACAGGTTGCTGGGAAAGTGGCGACAGAGCAAGCAGAGATTAATGACCCTAATAGCCTGTGCCATGTGACTATGAGCCACTGCTCTTGGTCCCAACAATATCCTGTGACCAGTCATCTGGAAGTATAACTGGAAAAATGACTTCCTAAAAGCACTAAAGACATATCACCTGTGTTTGTTTTTCAGTTTAAACATATCCCTTGTCTCTTTATAATGGTGTGTATTCATCATGGGAGTTTCTTTTCAAACTTTACATTCCTACTCATTAAGATAGTTAAAATTATTCCACATTCTACATTCTGTACTTTTGCTTAACAATCAACAAATGCCCACTCCCACATTTTCTTAACTATGTTTTCTACTATGTGTCTCATTTTATCCAGCTTTCATTAAACTCTCCTACAGTGACTTGTAACTCATCCCCTTACAGGGAGAGATGCAATGAACATCACTGGATGTAAGGTGATTACATCCTTAATCATTTCACTACAACAAAGAGTTGAAAATTTTGATGGGGTGACATCTACATAGAGTCCCTCACAAAGACTAATTGTTTTCCATTATCTTTACTCCTGCCAATATTATATGAAAGGTAATACTATTTATTTATTTAATTACCAATAAAGTATTTCAATGTTTTGCTGATTATTTTTACATGTAGATGTGTTATTCCTCTGCAAATTGTTTTTGTTTTATTTATTTATTCTCATGAGACAGTCTCGCTATGGAACCCAGGTTTATCTTGAGCTCACCATTCTTGTGCCTTGGCTTCCAAAGTGTGGGATAGCAGGTATGTGCCACAACACTTGGTACCTTTTGATGTTATTTAGGATTACAATTGTCTACTGATTTTATATATATATATATACATATATATTTATATATATAATATATGGTATACAAATATCTGAAATGTATGTGTATATATATATCAGATATACAAATGTTTTATATACTTACTGTCTTATACATAGGAAATGTTTTTCTAATTTCTGGTTAACATTTTAGTTTTAGATGACAGAAAAAGATAAAGTTTTGTTTGCAAATTGTTATTCACTCAGTGTAATAAAATTATAACACATTTAAATTTTATTTAATTTCAAATATATTTACCAAGAATTTACTTTTTGAGAGATGAAAAGGTGAGCATGATCTTAAGATACAAATATTTTCCTCACTGGCATGAAATAGTATCTTTATAAACATTAATGATAAAAATATTTATAATATAAAATTTTGGGGCCTTTCGCTTGACAGTTTTTTATCTCTTTCATATATCTACCAACTTATGGAGAATAAGAGTGCATTCATTTGAAAACTGCTTAGTTCTTCTTGAATATTGATTCTTAATTGTCATTTTGTCTATTGTATACATTTATCAGACACTGCCAAATAGTTTTGTAAATAATCCACAAAATTGTAACAATAATATATTATAAATGGACAGTTTAGATATGCTAGCAATGTATTCCATTTTGAACCGCAGGTTAAAAAAAGAAGCTTTCTTCCAATATATGAGAACTTACAGCTATTTTTTTTCCTTTTTCATTCCAGTGAGTAAAATATTGTCATAGATGTATATAATGTTTTAACCATACTCATCCGTTACCTTCCATGTGCTACATTCTTCAACAAATTAATATCAAAACATAATAGTGCATAATTTGTAATGATGAACAGAAGTTCATCCAAAATGATAAAAGATTTATTTTTAATGTTAAACTTTGTCCACATACCGTAATTTTTCTTCCTAAATAAGATTCAGTTATTCTGATATTGCTTGACGATGACTCTTGGTTCCTTACAAATAAATATTGTGAGGATTCATGCAATTGACCACTGCACATATCAAAAGTGACTATGTCAGCTTCTTCTTTGGCAACGAAGCCACAGTTACACGACACAGGATAGTGAAGGCTCCCGCAGTCCCGCTGACGTACATGTATTTCGAAATCACGTGACATACTCTTATAAAGCACAAATGTCCCAGTGTTGAAGTTATCATACACCCTAGTATGAACAAAAGTCAACTACATTAATAATCAGGATAAAATATTACAACAATATAAATGTAATATAAAAAAGTTCTCATATGTATGTATAAGTGGTCAATGTACTTTTGTCTGAGAATTGGCTCTGAAGATTGATTTTTGTTCATGGATGACTGAAAGTGACCATAGATACCTTAGCTCTTTCCCACAACTCTCTCTTTGCCTACCCATCAGGCTTCCTTCTTAAAGGAGAGCATGCTTGTTGAGTATACATGTGCTTGGCCGTTTTCCTTACCAAGCCATTGTCCAATGTGACCCGTTAATTAATGGCACTTGATAACCTGGCTCTTTCAATAAATCATGAACTCTACTTTCCTCCCTTCTTTTCGACCTGTTTAATTTTCTTCCTGGCATGCATTTACTTCCAACACTGCTTTATTACTGTTGTTGTTAATTGTGCTTCTGTCTGTCCATCTTCTTCTGTGCAGGGCAGAGAGTTATTGCCTTCATTCACTGCTTTACCCTCGGCACTCACAACAGGACTTGTCACCTGGATGTTTCACAACTAAACTCACTGAATGAACACAGATGACATACATCACACTATGCTTCCTTGAGATTCCTCACCGAGGCTGTTACGTCTCCAAATGCAGCCATAAAAGATTTCTGCATAAGTTATTAGTGCTGACAACTTTTCAATACTCATTGAAATCTGTGTTGTGATATTCATAATGGCGGGTTCTACCACTGTTCACTCATGAATCATTTTGCTCACAACTATTACAGTATGTTTAAAACACATATCAGGTATCATGAAGAAAGTTTCTTACTAGACAAAGAGTTGTCTCTCTTCTTAAAAATATCTCACAAGTTCCCTGGAACAGCGTCACCAAATTTAAATCTCTCTATTGAGACATTAAAACCAGTATTATTTTGATTCCTTTTTTACTGCTTTTGCCATTTTACTTAAATTCTAGATATAAACATAAAGGATTCCATGGTAAAATATTTTTAAATGAATATTTTTGTCATCAAGGTAATTAGTATTAAGATAAATTTTAATGAATTGGTTTAATCATTTCACAAAAATATCAAAGATTATTCTGTTATTATATAAACATACAACACAGTAAATATACTTAGTGAAAAATAACTAACTCATTATCAAAAATAAGAAGATGGCCAAGCAATAACAATAATGTACATTTGTAAAAATCTTCATTACGTCTTCACTTGTAATAGTAATCCAAAATTTCAGGCTCACTAGTTGTCCACATTATTTACCCAGGACTGGAGATAAGGCAAAATTATTCAACACAAATACACTGAAATCTAGAAACAAACCAATGAAAGCACAAATCACTGACAAAGACAAAGAAATGATAAAAGGGTCTGGCATTCAAAATCAAACAACAATAGCAAAACTAAAGAAAATAAAGACTACCGAAAGGAAAAAAGTTCAGGACATTACCTGCCATCAAAGGTAATTATGTGTGGATCAGTAAATGAATAGCAGTAAGCAGACGGGACATCCTTGACTTTTATCTTCAGAGAAAGATACAGATACGTTTAACAGTTAACATTGATTGTTGGATCGTCATATGCAGGAAATTATTTAGCAATTAATATTCAACAAATTCATATTTTATAGTTACTTAACATGAGATCATTTTAAAAATAAAAATATCAAGTCATTTAAAAATTTTATTAGCCAGGGTGTTGGTGGTGCATGCCTTTAATCCCAGCACTCTGGAGGTAGAGGCAGGTGGATCTCTGTGAGTTCCAGGCCAGCCTGGTCTACAGAGTGAGTTCCAGGACAGCCTCCAAAACAATACAGAGAAACCTTGTCTCGAAAAACAAAAAAAATGTATTTATTTATGTAATGAGGCTGTATGTACACACATGTACATATGCCAAGTGTGAGCAGGTGACAATAGAGACCAGAGGAGATATCACAGGCAGTTTTTTAACTGCCCCACATGGCGCTAGGAAGCAAATTTGGGCTGCATAGAAGAGAAGAGAGCAACCTTATGAATCTCTTCAGTTCCATCAAATAATTTTTAAATAAAAAATGTAGTACAAACATATTATTTAAAATATTAAGTTATAAAGTTTATTTTTCTGACTAGTCAACCTGGATGCCGTCTGGAATGTATCTGTTCCACAGGAACTCGTCACTGACTATAGGTTCCACAGTGATGTCTGTAATTCTTTCTCCATCCTGGGAAAAATCTGTCACAGCAGTGTAGTACACAACAGCATGGCTACATATTCCTTTGTCACAAGAAGAATTCTGGTGAAGGTCCACGTTGCAGGAAGATAATGCCAAATTTAAACCTAGGTGTTCTTTACCTACTTATGGAAAAAATAAGTTTTTACAGATACATACAAATCAAATGTAGTTACTTGATTAATATGAAACATTAAGACTAAAATATTATACTTAAGTAATTTTAAAAATATGTTGTAATGTGTGTCTAAATTAAAATGAAGCTATTGAATCCATGTGATCTTTGTATATAATTATTAGTTTCAAATATTTACATACATGTATGTATACATACACACTACTATTTTCAAGATGTTATAAATACATGTGCATTTAGATAAATTCAAAACAGTAACACAGGTAAGATACAGTCATGAACATGTTAATACCTTGATTTCATCAACATAAACTGTACACATGTTCTGTTGTATGAATAAGTCCATTCAGTAAGTACATGATGTGTAGCTCCTGATCATGAGTAATAATCTTATTTCTCCTCATAGGTGTCTGGATACATTCAGAAACTGAAAATGACCTCTGCTGAGGTGACAAGGAAAAGGGAAAGAATTTGCAGAGGAAACAGTAACAGAAAATGAAAACAGAATTCAAAAAGTATAGCAGCTGGGCAGTGGCAGTGTAATCCTTTAATTCCAGCACTCGTGAGGCAGAGGCAGGAGGATCTCTGATTTCGAGCCCAGCATGGTCTACAAAGTGATTTAAAGGACAGCCAGAGCTACACAAAGAAAGCCTGTCTCAAAAAACAACAACACAAGTAGAGATCATTTTCATAATTTCTGTTCTTCCCATAAACAAAAAGAACAGACCACCAGAGTGGGTATAAAGAAATAGATTTTCAAACCCAACTTGGGACAGAAAAAGCTGTCCTGAGATTTGAGAAGGAAGAAATGAGTTCTTAACGTTGTCTTCTTTTCAATCATATGGGTTTTCTAGGTATGAAATTACAGTGGTCATATAAAGGTACACAATTCTCAGTTCAAATCCTGGGGAAAATGTTTGCCTTTTTATTTTTCTGGAAACACATTTTTTTTCACACACATACAAAATAATGGAAACCTACAAACTCCTTAGCCAGTTCTCTTATGCTCATTCCATGATTTCATTTCCCAAGTTTGTGGTGTGAGGGCCATACATCATAATGTCCATGTGATTAGTCATTTAAATGAAGGAATATTCATACAAAGGGACCTATATGAAGCTTACACTGGGCAAAGAAGTGTGAAGAATTCATTATGAGACCTGTGTTTCATAAACTTGAACTCTTGGAACACTGTAAAGTGCTGGTGGTTTCCCATCTCTGAAATCAAGGCAAAGAGAAGAATAAGTAGGAGGCAGAGAGAAGGGGGATGAGCAATGATGAAGAAGTAGGGGGGGAGAGATGACCAATGATAACAAAGAGAAGATGGTTCAATAGTATGTTTGAGTCCAGGAACAAAAAACATGAACTGCTTTGACAATTATCAGCTCAACCATATATCAGATCATTAATACAATTGAGCTATTGCTTGATAGAGGCATGAAACATTTTATTATCTGAGTGTGGTCCATGAAGAACGAGGATCAGTTGTTATCTCAAATATAACAAGCCAAAATGAACTTATTGTGTTACCTTGTTCAGTGGTTCTCAGCTTTAATGAGATTTTGCACCCTTGACCAAGCTCACCAAATTCAGAGCAAACAATAGGAATTGTACTCTCTACCCTCAGCTGGTATTCCTTTCCATCTTCTGATATAGTGCTCACCTCAGGTTTTAACTAGTATGAGAAAATACACACAGAAGTTATGTTCATATAGAATGCATTTCTAAAGATCAACTTTGAAAACATCTTTTTCTCAACAGATTCTCTTTTGTTTATGGAGCTATTAATAACTTAATCATTAAGTTTTATTTAAAGAAACAAAGCCAATTAACATCAAACCAGTAAAAAAAATGCCACTGTAAATAGAAGCTGAGCTTTGTGTGCCAACCACACAATCCCAAATAATCACACAGAATCTTAGTATTAATTATAAACTGTTTGGCCTGATGCTCAGACATTGCTAACTTGCTCCTATTTTTAAATTAACCCATTTGTATTAATCTCTGTATTGCGATGTGACTCGTGGCTTTAAATGCGGTCTAGCATATCTTGCTCTTGCTGCTGTGATGGCAGGGTGGCATTTGTCCTAACTCTGCCCTTCTCTTTCTGTATCTCTGCTTGGATTGCCTGCCTGGCTCTATCATGTGTTGCTACAGGTCAAATCAGCTATTTTTATTAACCAATGGGAATAAAACATATTCTACCATACAAAAGGGGTACCCCACAGGAAGCCACATGCAGTGGCATCCAAAGAGTTCCAGTACCACTCTGAGTTTCGGCTCAATCACTTCCTCAACATAAACTGGACAGCCTTGTGGCCAAGCTGGTTTCATTAATTCTGGAGAATAGAGGAAGAGAGACTGTGCTCCTGCCCCCACCACAACCCATTTATCTACTGATGCTTATTGGCACAACCAGAGAAGAACCTGGTTATTTTCAAGGACTTAATGTCACCATTGAAATGCATGTACTACTGAATACATGATCCAAATGATGTTGTCACCTGCAATAACTAACTCCACAGATTGTTTCTGAGTTTCTGCCTTCTAAGTTAGATTTCCTGAGATGTATTGCTACAGCCAGAGTCATTCCAATCCCCAGGGCAGTCATGTGTGGCAGCAGAGTTCTTTTGTTTGTCTCTCAAAAGAATTGCATCTTAGTGCTATTTCTCTGTCAGTTTCTAATTAGGAACAGTGGCCCACGCCTTTAATCTCAGCACTTGGGAGGCAGTTGCAGGCAGATCTCTGTGAGTTCGAGACCAGCCTGGTCTACAAGAGCTAATTCCAGGACATACTCCAAAGCCACAGAGAAACCCTGTCCCAAAAAACAAAATACGAACACAACAACAACAACAAAAAAGAAACAGTGACTGACCACTGACATTGTGTAACATGTATTCCAACACAGATCAAAATGTTCCTGTGTTCCCGGGGTCAGAGCTCTGCCTGCTCTCCTACCACTAGCTCTCCTGACAATATAACCTAGTCTTCCTGGACTTTGTCCAAGTGCACATGGACTTTAGCTCCACAAAGGTTTTTAATCCTATCCCTAAGTCCTGTCATTACAATTGGCCAATTTCTATGTTGTCTTTGGACAAGAAATGAACCCAGTGAAATCTCAAATTCCATGAGTGAGACCCCCCACAGAGTTGCTCTCCTGTTTCCACCTCTTAATACTGCCTAGTACCTTTCACTGATCATGATTTCCTGTCACTTCTGCTTACCTGTTGGAATTACTCGTCACTCTTTGGATCCAGCGAGACCAGCAGAAACCAAAAGTATTATGTTGCTTAGTTAGCACAATTATAAAAACCCATAAAGTCCAGAACTGTGAGTCATTTCTTTTTAAGTCCCAGGTGCTAGCCCTTCATCTGCTACTTATCTTTAGACGTACACAATAGCCAAATAGTAGTATGATTATAATACATAATGGAGTATCTGGTAGAATGATTTATGAAAATAGAGTCTTTAACTTATTCTGACTTGAGCTATTTCTTTAGCCCCACCTTCGACAAGTATGTGAACTGTGATGGATTGATGTGAAGGTTTACATTCACAAATAATCCAAAATTGACCCATGCACAATTTCACAGTGATTAGACATTATACTTTGAATTTTTGTCTTTCCTGAAACTAGCAATATTCTACAATATACTTTTCATGATGCTAAGTAGTAGCTGTCATCTCTAGCTCCCAATCAGCCATGGGCCACAAAGCATGAATATCCAACACTCCACAGTGTGCTTATTGCTAAGATAAAATGCCAGGAGCTTAGTTGCATTAAATGCATTTTTGACTTGCACTGTTTTCAGTTTCTGATTTTACTAGGATGCAATGCCATTGTAGGCCAAGAAACACCCCAAATTCAGCCATTCACATGTGAATTCAAGCTTAGTTCTACATGAGAATTATTCAGTTATTCTTCAAAGATGCTGACTATTCATTCAGTCAAGACTTCCTGATTCAGCCAATGAAGAGGCCCAAGAATCATCACAGGCAAATCACAGTAAATAACCTTTCTAGCTCATACTCAGAGCTACATACCTTAATTCCTGCAAAATACTCCTGGCTTTCAACAGCCATGCTTTGTACCTCTGGTTTCTCCAAGAAAAAGATGGAAGCACTGCAGGATATCTATGAATACAGTTAAGTAATAATTATTCAGTAGTGAGATTATAAAGAAAAATACAATTTTTATCCTTAAATGCTTTATTCAATTGTTAACAAATGGTAAAATTAAGAAAAGGGGACTAGAGAGAGAGCCAGCAGTTAAGAGCACTTATTGCTCTTCCAGGAGACCCAGGTTCTGTTCTCAGGACCCACGTGGTGGCTCAGAGCTGTCTAAAACTCCAGGTTCAGGGGATCCCAAACAATTTCTTACTTACATGGATGTCAAATGCAAACATGGTATGCACACATTCAGATGAAACACTCACACATAAGTTAAAATTAATAAAATTATATCTAAAAATAACCAAAACATTTCACATGTTTGCCTAAAATCTGAGAAATTTCTATCATAAAAATTTGTTATTTTAACCTCAATATTAAGTACAGTGTACCTTTTATTTCATATATATATATACATATACGTATACATATATATATATTAGAAAGTAGATAAAATGGTATGAGCATTGAAAAGTTAAAACATTGCTATCCAATAGATGAACGACATAATTTTAAAACTGGAAAGAGACACAGAGTTTTAAAGATTCACTGATAATCAGCAGATTATTGAAAGGAGATACTCAAACACAGTCACCAACATACACTATTGACACTTTTAGCTGCTACTAGAATTAGCACAGTTGCCAAGCAGGAAGAAGAGAAAAACAAAGGCTCCACTGCTTTATATTCTGAGGACAGACGAAAGAAGCCTTCAGCATTTGATTTAACCCACCAATTTTGAAAACCAGCATACGCATGAAAAGAAAATAGAAAGCTTTTGTTTTTGTTCTCCATACCTTATCTCCGAGTCTGAGATTTATGCCATCGAATTCTAAAAGAGAAAACGCCTGAACAGTGCTCTCTTGTTTTAGCTCCTCTTTGATTCCTTGGGAAGAAAGCCTAGACCAGGCTATGAAGAATCCCACTGAGTTGTTTATGGGGGGAACATCAAAAGCACACCTACAAAACACCTGGGAGCCCACCAGCTCCATTGTAACCTTTGGTCTGCCTGGAGGTGGAGGAGGTGACCCTGTGGAGAGCTGGCCTGGTGGGAGGAAAGAACAGTGAGGAAGTCAGGCATCCTGAAGAAAAGAAAGAACACTGCCAAAAAGGGACCCAAATACTCTAAATAAAAGGGCATTAGCACTGAGACTCGCTTTAGGAAGAAGGAAAGCAAGTCTGGAAAAATGATTATTTTCCAGCAGGCAACAAAGGGAAACACTCATGTTTAAACTATTAGGAATACTGACTGACAGCAGAGTGATTTAGCTCAAGCTTAGGTTAGCCTCGCAGAACCTTTACAAAGCCTAGAATGTGGAAAGAAAAGTGGCTCACATTACAATTTCTTTTTATAAAGATAACCAAATATGTCTTTTATTGGCTTTTAACTAAGTTCATCATAAGTTTGAGTTGAATGAGCTGTTCACTGCATGGTGGTTATGCTGGCAGTAAACTCTATGAAGTACTAGAGAACTCTCCTACTCTTCATTTTTCTGAGGCTAAAGATAAATCTGGTTTATTGAAGAGGTAACTGTTCTTTAATCCCAAGCATTTGCAAAGTTAAATCTAAGGGTCTGTAAAAATTGTTTTGTTTTAGAAATTAAAAAGTATCCTGCTAATAAAATTTAACAAGATGCTTTACAATATCCTGAAATATACATCTTCCTATTCCATCCATTATTATTTTGTGACAACTGAAAAGCTGACTGTTGAAGCCTGTCAGGCAGATGCTGGAAACTCTGAGAAACCATGTCTTAAGGCCTTTGTACAGAGAAAACACTCATTCAGAATTTTTGAAGCATCATTTTGTTGGACACCATATTCCAATGACTAACAATGAATGGATTGTTTACAATTAACGAAATTAACAAGAATCAATATGTTGGGGTCTCTTGAGGGAGGGTCTTGTTACATAGCTCAGGTAGCCCCAAAAGCTTGCTCCTTCTGCCTCAGCCTCCCCAATGCTGAGATTAAAGTGTGCCCAGCTACAAGCATTTCAGCAATCCTTAAATCAAGGTACCATAATCATAGGGAGTGTTTCACTCAGGTTACTTTAATTTCTTTACAGTTTTGAATAGTTTGTTTTTACTACGTAATTTCACAAATGTCTTAAATATCACATATTGAGGAAATAAACAAAGAAAGAAGTGAGTGATTAGTTTGTTGTTTTCTCTGGTACTGGTTTGAACCCAGGACTAGAAAATTTCTGTACCACTCAGTACATGCCCAGCACCAGCTAAAATGTGTTTATTTAAGAGGGAAAATACATTTTCTTCCTTTAATGCAAATCACTAGTTAGGAAAATTCATGCCTAATATCCATAATAGATCAATAATCATATTATGTACTTATTGTTATAATGATTAAGAATTTTATATAATAAGCTAAAAAGGAAAAGAAATACTAAAATTTTAAATCACAAACTCTGACAAAGCTAAGACTTTGAGACAACCTAATGGTTTGATTGCAGAATCACTGGGAAAGGTGCCTGCAAAATCTATCAGCAACTGGAAGACTGTCAAGAAGCAACTCGGAGCTATTAATTATAGTACCTAGATGAAAACTCTACCTCCTAATTTTAAAGAATCATATTTGTCTGTAGACACAATGAAATGACTAATTTTTGTTTGTTTGTTTTGAGAGAAGGTTATCCTATGAAGCCAAACTTATAACTGTTCTCATGCTTCAACTATGATTGAAAATGTACCTGCCTCATTTGTAGTTTTAAGATACTTTTCCATATTATAAAAAAATGAGCCAGGTGATAGTGGTGCACGCTTTCAATCCAAGCACTCAGAAGGCAGAGGCAGAGGCAGAGGGATCTCTATGATTTCTAGTCCAGAATGGTCTACAGAGCAAGTTCTAGGAGATCCAGGGATACATGGAGAAGTTGTCTTGAAACAAACAAACAAACACACACACACACACACACACACACACACACACACACACACACACCACATACATATACACACAAAACGAATGAAGAAAATAAATAGTGTAACTATTGTGCTTCATACTTCCTTGAACAGTACTAAAAGATACTATTTTACTTTCCTAAAGTAAAAAAGTAAGTGAATATACATTTAAAATTTTGTGAAAATTAAGTTAATTTGTCAATTTTTCTTGTGAATGATTCTGCCAGCTTTTCAGTTGCTTTTATCTCTGTACTTCTGCCAGCCTTGGGGATATATTATTTTACACATCTAATAAATAAGTTACTGTTGGTTGATTTCTACCAGGCTGGTGGTGCATGCTTGTACAATTCAACATTTAAAACCACAGAACAAACATATTTACAGAAGTCACTAACTTATAACTACATTATATAATAAAAACAGTGCTATACACACCAATACATTCTCCTCCGATTTCTATTTCTCCAGGGCCACACATATGTAACTTCACATCAGAAACAGCTGCAAAACGTTAAAGTATGAACATTTAATTAAATGACCAAAAATGTGTAAATCCACATATACATATGAACAGTTCTTTGGGAAAGTATGTTTTAACATGGATGTAGGATTTCTTAGTTGTTCTCTCTGGAATTTTTTCCTAAAGATTTTTCCCCTTTAAGGATAAGATCAAGCAGAAATGATCAATGATCAATGATTTTATTTTGAAGTACTTGGAGCTTTCATGGCTCCTTTGGGCTCTGCATTATTAAATATCAGAGCACACTTACAAAATTCAAATTCCTGGGCTGCAAGAGTTTTTATTTCTTATAGAAACGCAAAGTGGCAAATTACTTTGAAGGACAATTTGGCATTTTCATAAGACACTAAATATACTCTTACCATAAGGCACAGTTTTTTCTGATGTTTACCCAAATGACTTTCAGACAGACTTCCTCAAGAAAAAGGAACACAGATATTTATAAAAGTTTTAGTAGTAATTGTCCAATTTATAGGGATTTTGTATTACTTCTTGAACAGGACTAGAACAGTTGTCTCTAAGGGATTGTGGCTGTGTACTTAACTTACTTGTCAAGTTCATCTAAAGATGTCAAAGTATTAAAAGAGTCATTCATAATTATACCTTTGTTTTGGTTATCATATTATCTGTGGAATTTTTCCTCCAGCGTTCTTTCCCTTTCTTTTCTTTTCCTTTCCTATTTTTTGACAGTAGATTGCATTCTCATATAATATATCCTGATCATAGGTTCCTCTTCCTCTACTCCAAGTTCTGTCCCACCTTCCCTCTCCTCTGGATCCATTTCCTTTCTGTCTCTCATTCAAAAGAATTGTCTCCTAAGAGATAACAACCAAATGTGACAAAATAGAGTATAACAATGAAGCCAAAATGATCATATTGTTGGATTGGACACAGCAACCCAACAAGAATAAAAGAGTCCCAAGAGTAGGCATAAGAGTCAGAGCCCCACTCAGGGGGTTGGTCTCACAGTCAGGAGTCCCATGAAAATACTAAGCTGTTACCTGTAATACGTACATAGAGGATCTGGTGCAGACCTGTGTATGACCTGTGCTTGCTGCTTCAGTCTCTGTGAGCTCATATACACTGTGGTTAGTTGATTCAGAGGGCCTTGCTTTAGTTGCATCCCTAATATGCTCTCCCTGACCCCTCACATGTGTGTTCCTAGAGACTGAATCTATGACTTTCAGCATGCTAACATATGCTTGCTCTACACAGCTGTTCTGCATGGCTGGTACCAGTGTGCTCTTTTCTAAATCAAAGTTATGGATAAAGAGTTCCAACTTTCATTGAGTTGCTCAAAGAACTACATTTGATTAATTTTCACTGTTTATGTGAAATATATTCATTTTCATTCTGTTCATTTTTTCATGTTATTGCTCTAAGTCTCATTTATACTTATTTTAGTCTCAAAATATGTAAATTGAGGTACTTAATTAGTAATTTTTATTTTGTAAAATAAATGCTCAATGAATACTAATTTTAATTAGTTTCATTTTAATAACATGTAGTTTTCCTTGATATAGGGTTCAGGATGAGGTATGTCATGGTAAATATTGCCTGTCCAGTTACAAAGAATATTTATACTGCTTCCCTTGTGTGGAGTTCCCTTGAATGCCATCTGGATCATGTTGGTTGGCAGAGTTGCACTAGTTTCCTGTGCTTCTGCTGACTGATTCTGTTACTTGAGTGGTCAGTGATGTGCAGTACTAACTAGAGACTCATCTGTTTCTGCTTGAACTGAAGACCCATCAGTTTTGCATCACACAGAGTAAGTCTTGCTCTGGTGCAGTCATGTAGAATTGTTGGGCCCCGTTATGGAATTGTTAGGTGCTGTTGTGGAATGAGAGAAGATTTTAAATTTGTTTTATCCTTTCATGTATTATAAGGACATGCTTTATTGGTTAAAAGACAAATATTACTCCAACAATATATACAGGTGTGGTAATTCATACATGCTATGTCTGAAAATGGCATATAAACTCAGTGTTCTCTTTACTTTGCCATTAGTTCAATTCATGTCCACCCCTTTCATTGAGCCACTCATGGTTCTCTATAGAACGAATGCAACACTCTGCAGGAATCTTTCTCCAGGAATAACTTATGGCTTTAGCATATAGTACTCATATTGTATTATTAATCTGTTTAAAAACCACCTTAGACTTTATACCATGAATCTGCTTGACCTAAGTTCTTAAGTGAACTGAAGATTCTACAGCTCTGTCACCTCTGGTTCCCTGAAATCATCTTCTGGGATATCCCCTTACTCTGTCCCCCTCAGTTTTCTTTCATTTCTGCCTAATTCTCCTCATTCAGATGTCAATTCAGATCATCAGCTGTTCAAAGTTCATTTCGAGGGCTAATTTTTAAACATGGCATACCTGTGTCAGTCTGTGACACATCTGGATTTCTTTAATTAATAAGATATTATTTTAAAAATAATTAATTTTTTCCACGCAGACTACAATGCCCAGCAAAACTTTCAATAATAAATGGATAAAACAAGATATTCCATGATGAAAAATTAAAACAATACCTATTTATAACTCTAGTCCTGCAGAAAGCATTATAAGGAAAACTCCAAACAAGGGAGTTAACTACACCCATTAAAAACACATACAGGAAATAAGAAATATGACATCAGAAAAGCCAAAAGAACACACACACACACACACACACACACACACACACACACACACACACTACAACAACAAAATAAAATTAATTATCATTAATCACTAGTATCTCTCAGTATAAATGGATTCATTTCCCTAATAAGAAGACACAGGCTAATGTACAAAAACCATGATCCATCTTTCTGCATAGAAGAAACACACTTTAACATCAAAGATAGACAGTATTACAGTGTAAAGGTTTGGAAAAAGGTTTTCCAAGCAAATGGACCCAAGAAGCAAGCTGGTATAGCTATTCTAATATCTAGCAAAATAAACTTTCAGCCAAAATTAATCAAAATAAATGGGAAAGGATACTTCAAATTCATCAAAGGAAATATTCACCAAGATGACTTTTCAATGTTTAACATTTATGCCCCAAACACAAAGGCATCCACATTTGTAAAAGAAGCATTACTAAAGCTTAAATCACACTTTGAAGCTAACAAATTAATTATAGACATTTCAATAACCAGCTCTCAAAAATGGACAGCCCAACAAGACAAATATTAAGCAGAGAAATAATGAAGATAACAGAAGCAATGAACCAAATGCACATAACCAATATCTACAGAACATTTTGCCCCAACACAAAAGAATATACCTTCATCTCAGCACCTCATGGAACTTTCTCCAAAACTAACCACATACTCAGTCACAAAGCAAGTTTCAACAGATATAAATAAAATAAACCCCTGTATCCTGTCAGGCAATTAAAGCTGGATCTCAACAATGGAAAGCCTACAAATGCATAGAAATAGAACAACTCTCTAAAAAATGACTACTGGGTAAAGACAGAAATAAGAAAGAAATTAAAGCCTTACTAAGAGTCAGTGAAAATGACTTCTGCAACAACATGAAAGTGTTGCTAAGAGGAAAGTTCATAGCCCTAAGTGCCTTCATAAGAAACTGGAGAGAAAGCTCTAGAACAACAACAAAAAAGCAAACACGTGGCAGGAAGTAATCAAATTGAGGACTGAAATCAACAAATTAGAAAAAATGATAACAATACAAAGAATAAATTAAACAAAGACTTGGTTCTTTGAGAAAAACACCAAGGTAGACAAGCCCTTATCCAAACTAACTAAAACAGAGAGAATATCCAAATTAAAAAATCAAAAATGAAAAGGGAGATAGAATAGCAGACACTGAAGAAATCCAAAGAATCACTAAATCACACATCAAAAAACTGTACTCTGAAAACTTGGAAATCTAAAACAAAAGGACAGTTTTCTTAATAGATAGCATTTCCAAAGTAGATCAGATAAATAATTTAAATAGACCTGTAACCCTTAAGGTAATAGACACAGTCATTTAAGTCTCTCAACAACAACAACAACAAAAAGTCCAGAGCCAGATGGTTTTAGTGCAGAATTCTACAAGACTTTCAAAAAGCAGCTAATAACCACACTCCTATAATTATCCACAAAATAGAAACAGAAGGAACATTGTCAAATTAATTTTATAAGGCCAGAGTTATACTAATACAAAAATGACACAAAGATTCAACAAATAAAGAGAATCACAAATCAGTTTCCCTTGTGAATATTGATACAAAATACTCAATAAATACTCCCAAACTGAACCCAAGAACACATAAAAGAGATCATCCACTGTCATCAAGTAGGCTTCATCCCAGAGATGCTGGATGTTCAACATATGAAAATTTGTCAGTTTAAACCACCATATAAACAAACTGAAACAAAACAAAACATATGATCATTGTGTCAGATGTTGAAAAGGCTTTGACAAAATCCCAAACCTCTTCATGATAAATGTATTGGAGAGAGATCACAAATACAAGGGACATACCTAAACACAATAAGAGTAACATATAGTGAACCAATAACCAACAGCAAATGAACTAGAGAGAAACTTAAAGCAATTCAACTAAAATCAGGGACAAGACAATCCTGTCCACTCTCTCTATATCTATTCAATATAGCACTTGAAATGCTAGCTAGAACAATAAGACAACTAACAAAGTTATGGGGATAGAAATTGGAATGGAAGAAGTCAAAGTATCACTACTTGCAGACGATATGATAGCATACATAAACAACCCCAAAAATTCTACAAGGGAACTTCTACAGCTGATAAACACCTTCAGTAACTCCAAAAATTAAGTAGTCCTCCTATATACAAAGCACAAATAGGCTGGCAAAGAAATCAGGGAAACAACACTCTTCACAAATAATATAAAATATCTAGGGCAATGCCAATCAAGCAAGTGAAAGATTTGTGTGATAAAAATTTCAAGTCTTTGAAGAAATAAATTGAAGAAGATATCAGAAAATAGAGAGATCTCCCATGCTTATGGATCAGTAGGATTAGTGTAGTTACCAAAAGCAATCTACAGATTTAGATAAATTTCCATCAAAATTCCACACAATTCTTTCCAGGACTTGAAAGAAAAATACTCAAATTCATATGGAAAAACAAAAAGGCCAGGATAGCTGAAACAATGTACACAATAAAAGAACTTCTAGAGGTATCACCATCCCTGATGTCAAGCTTCACTAAAGAGCTATAGAAACAGCATAGTACTGGCATAAAAACAGAGAGTTTTGTCAGTGGAATCAAATCGAAGACCCCATCTGATATCCACACACCTCTGAACACCTAAGTTTTGATGAAGACATCAGAAATATACAATAGAAAAAAGAAAACATCTTCAACAAATAGTGCTGGTCTAACCAGATGTCAGTATGTAGAATGCAAATAGATTCATAATTTTTACCTTGCAAAAACTCAAGTCCAAGTGAACCAAAGACCTCAACATAAAACAAGATGTTCCAAACCTCATAGAAGAGAAAGTGGAAAGTATCTTTAACACATTGGCCACCCAATGACTGGTCTGGCCACCCAACAACTGGTCTAGTTTGAGACCCGTTCTACCAGAGGAAGGCCACCCCTGACAGAACCAGGTGGGCCTGTATATTTTAGAGACCTAGAATAGAACCAAACATGACTGGCAAAAAGTCAATGAAATGATTCCTTCCTAATGATATTCTATTATACTTATAGATCTGTGCCTTGCCCAGTTATCATCTGAGAGGCTTTATCCAGCAACTGATGGGAGCAGATGCAGAGACCCACAGCCAAACATTAGGTAGCGCTTGGGGAATTCTGCAGAAGAGGGGAGGAAGGATTGTAGGAGTCAAAGGGGTCAAGAACACCCCAAGAAAACCCACACAGTCAACTAACCAGGACTCAAAGGGACTCAGAAATTGAACTGTCAATCAGGTAGTCTATATAGTTCTCTGCATACAGGTTATAGTTGTATACCTTGGTGTTCCTGTGGGACATATAACAGTGTGGAGGGGAGCTGTCTCTGACTCTCTGGTAGTTTGAATGCATTTGGCCCCTGTAAACTCATGAGGATTGGCACTATTAGGAGGTGTGGCCTTGTTGGAGGAAGCTGGATGAAACGTGCCTTTAATCCAGACCTTGGAGGCTTCAGGGTACATCTTTAATTTGAGGTACACCTTCAGCTGGAAGTGTGTCACTGTGGGAGTGGGTTTTGAGGTCTTTTTCTCAAACTTGGCTGAGTGTGACAGGCAGTCGATTTCCTGTTGCCTCTCACTCAAGAGGTAGCACTCACAGCTTCAGCACCACATCTGCCTTCATGAGGCCATGCTCCCCTCATGATCATAGTGGACTGAATCTCTGAAACACCCACAATTAAATGTTTTCTTTGTAAGAGTTGCAATGGTCATGGTGTCTCTTCACAGCAATAGAAACCCTAACTGAGACAGACTCTTTTGCTTGCTTTTGCAACTCTTTTTCTCCTACTGGATTGCCTTATCTAGACATAATATGAGAGGATGTGCCTAGTCTTATCACAATTTTATATCCCTGTTTGGTTGATACCCCTGGGAGGCCTGCCCTTTTCTGAAGGGAAATGGAGGCGTGGATCATGGGGAAAGGGAAGAAGGAAAGAGGGGCTGGGTAGAGAGGAGGGAGGAGAAACTGCAGTGGGGACGTAATACATTAGAGAAGCAAAAAATTATTTTTGCTTTGCTATAAATATTTAGTTTAAAATAGTTTTATATCTACACAAAATATTTTCACACAAAACACTCCCATATACACCTCTGAAGCACCTTCTGTAAACGTTTACACATTATAAGACCAGGATGTATTTGTTAATTAGGAATTGTCAAATTAGGAAGCTGATCTTAGAACTACTTTAGTCAAAAACAAACACATTTTCCCCCACTGATGTCATCTTTTGTGCCAATACTAATTCTAGGAAATCACCGTGCATCACTCACAATGTTTTTCTCTGGTCTATGACAGTTTCTCATTCTTTTCTGTGTTTTTCTTGCTCTTCTTACTTCTGAAACATTGCATTCACGTGTTCTCTAGAATGTTGCTTAATCTGTGATCGTATTGCTTTACTCATGATAAGGCTGAGGAACTGCCTTTGGGGAAGATTAAGACATTTAGTGTTCTTACTACAAGCTCACAGATGATACATGATACCCCATGTTCTGATGCATGATACCCTGTTTTCTGTCACCAGGAATACTAACTACTATCATGGATCACAGATAGCATCTACCAGTCCTCTTTCCTGAGAAACCACTGTTGTTTTTTTCCATTCCATACACTACTAGTTGCAAGCAAATTCTGAAGTCCAGACCACAATAAAAAACTAGAGAAAAATCCAGGTGGCACAGAAGCTACAAATATTATTTGATATTGTTTTGTTTGTTGTTTTATAGTTTTTGTGATATTACATAGTTTTGTGATATGTAGTATTACAAAAGTGTAGATGCTAGGCAAGCATTCCAACATGCACAACATGAATTACAAACATGACTGCAAACTCTTCTTTAGGGGCACTTTGCATGTGGAATGCATAGCTATTTATTTGCTTCTTTGAGAGTTACATGTCACTTATTTTTACGACTTGTTTAAGGTATTACACTAGAGGAGAGAGCACATTCACCTTGATACTTGCAGTAACCAACACCAGGATTTAAAGTTAGTCCTGAATCCGTATAAACACTCAATAAACTTTACTAATTAAACAGAAAACAATGCTGAAGTACAAATGGATACACATTTGCTTACTATCTGTCATGTCTTAATGAGAGAGGGGAAGGACAAGCAGAAACCCTGTTTCTTAAGCCATCCAGGCAGTAAGTACAGTAAGTCTCCTTTAATACTTTCCCAGCAAAATAAACTTTTGAGCATTTTAAGAGACTGATAAATATCTGAAAACAAAGTTAGGTTTAGTTAGCGATAATGGTAGACCAACTCTCCTGCTGACAGTACAACCTGCTTGGAGTACAAATGCACTCACATATATTTCCACAATTAGCAGTTCAAAGTATCACTGAAGCTTTCTTACCTTCAGCACAGTAGCCCATGCATCCCTGAGTGGGTTGCAGCAAGTACACGAAAAAATCGCCACAGTTCCTAACAGACACGGGGATTTGAAAGAGGCAGCAATCCTTTTCAATGCTAAAAAGAAGCTGCCAAGTGGCACAACCTGTCAGTTGCTTGATCTCTCCAGGAAGAGGCAGTGTTTCTGATTCACTAAGAGACAGCCATATGGGGGCCTGAGTTCCACAGTGGTTCATCTTTTGTATCGGAGAAAATAAAAGTTGAAAATATAATTATATTTCATACTAATAAAAACTTCACATTTTTAAAAATCTTCAGCTCTAATACCCTCTTCAAATAGTAAATTATTAATTAGCTTGAATTTTAAAGAAATTGGGACTAGAGATGTTGCTCTGCAGTTAAGACACAGCCTCCTCCCTCAGTAGCCCTAGATTTGAATCCCAGCATCCACACTCTGACTCATAACCATTCTGAACTCCATGTTTAGCAGACCCAGCACCTTTTTCTGACTTCTCTTGGAACCAAGCCTGCATGTTGTAGAAGTACATATAATCAGGCAAAACACCTATACACATAAATAAATATTTTCTAAAAACCAAGAACATACATACCACTGCACAAGAAAGTAATTGTAAAGAACACTAAATTAATATAATATTAAGTAATGCTAATATAACCTGTTTAAAGTAAATACTTTTGTTTTACAATTGTATTATAAATGAAAAATTCAACTGCAGATAATTTACTAAAACAGTAGACATATCATAAAACAAGACAAGCGAAACTGAAAGTATATTAATATGTAGCACAAATACCAACTGATTTTGGAGATTTTTGCACAGTTGTTGGAGACAATGTCTATTTGATGTCAATTCAGACTCAAGATGCAACAAAAACAAGTAGAGAAAGAAGAAAGGTGTTATTTATAGACTGATATAGAAAAATTACTTAGCAACTTGGAAAAATGGAATTAATATTTTGTTTGTGGCTTACTATCAACATTATTTCCAGGTAGAAAAATGTAATTTAATGGCAAATTAAGCTTGGAAAAAAGACAAAATTTTGAGAAGATGCAAAAGGCACATGACTTCGGACAAGGTTCCCAGCATCCTTCTCTGGTAGTACCCAGACAATGGTACTTAAAAAGCTCAGCTAAAATGGAAATGGAAATGCAATACCTTTGCAGGAATAACGAATAATCACTATCCATGATACAGTCATTAAACATGTTGCCTCCATGCTCCACACCTCTAAGCATAGGAAATTTTTAAAGAGGATGTTGATAGATACAAGTAAATAATGATCACAAAAAATAAAATAAATGAGAATTAAATGAGGAAACTATTTTAAGTAGTTTTTTTTAGTATGCTATTATTTGTTGTCACATTAATGTATTTATTTTATTTTGTTCAGATCATTTACTCATCTACAAACTCTAATACCATAAATTCACAATTCTTAGAAGAAATTCAAATGTCTAATAGATGTGTGAGAACATGCAATATCAAGAGATATATTTTTATCTACTGCTATGAAAATAAAAATTATCATTACATTCCTAATAGCTTGAATATATGTTACAAAGCCTTAAAATATGTCTTCATTAGTTTTACTTATCAAAAGTCTTATTAATCATACTAAAATTGCTGTGATTATATGTACTATTTCTAAAATCACATCAAATAATTTATAATATAGACACATGCTAATGATGTAATTACCCACAAAAACATTTCCAGAAAAATAAAGAGGAAACAATAGGAAAATGTCTATGACAGCTACATATACTGAGATGGATTGTGAAATAACACTGCTATGATCTCTGTTCTTACTTTGCTGTGTTTCCTAGGATTTGTGTGTAGTATTTCAAACCAAAGAAACAGAAACTTATTTCAATAGACTTGTATCATCCTGTGGACAAAAAGAAAAATCTATTGATTGCCCACGTAGGCCATGTAGACAGTGGACAATTCTTCACTACCGACAGTGTGATGACCATGCATTCATTTCATGTATACATTTTTTTGAGACATGATTTTTTAATTTTCTTTTTTCCCAGATCTTTTACTTTTTTATTGGTTGATGTTAATCTTTATCCTTCCTTCCTTTTTTGAATTTAAGTTAGAAACAAGCTTATTTCACATGTCAATTCCAGCTCCCTCTCCCTCACCTCCTACGTCACCCTCCCCACCATGCCCCCCAGTCCCTACCCAATGTTTACTCTGATCCCCAGGGAGGGTGAGGCCCTCAATGGGAGACCTCCAGAGTCTGTCATTTCATTGAGAGTAGGATCTAGGCCCTCCCCCAAGAGTCCAGGTTGAGAGAGCCTCCCTCATTGTTGGATGGGCACCCAAAGTCTATTTGTACGTCAGGGATAAATACTGCCCAAGGCCTCATAGATTACCTATGCCTAGCTAACTGACAAATATATAGGTTTCTATAAGGTTCTAGAATCAACTAATTGAGTCAAAGGAAGAAAACACAAATACTTAAGAATGTTGTGATTTTTCCCCCATTTTTTTCTGAAGCTTTACTTTTAAATTCTAATGGCTTTTAGTTTCCTTCCAATAAAATGTCACAAAAGTGATTTTTTAAAAGATAAACAAAAAAGGGAAATAAAATATGATATCCATGACAGAAGTTAATATTAAATATTGTTAGAATTGAATATTTTTTCTGAGTTTTTTACATTAGTATTGAGAAAGGAAAACCCCACATGTAAATAACCCTCCAAATATGAGTGACAATCAGATAAACGGATATTCTGCTAAGTTATGGCTTTATATAATGTTTCTTACTTCAAGTCTTAAATACAGCTCTGTGTCTTTTAGGTTAAAAAATAAGACTAGTCCAATACAGAGTGACACAGGGCACAGTCATTTGTGATGATTATCAACTTGAGCATATTTCTTCAAGGTACAAAGCTACATATTTCAACCAAAAAACAGTTATGCCTAGACAATCCTCAGAACCCTCCGTTGAGCTATGTGGAGGTTTGTGATAAGGCAAAGGACTCATATGGTGACAACATTGCATGTTATTCTGCCCCTAATGGTAATGAGTTTGATTACATTATTCAAAATCTTTTTCTGCATCCATGTTTTACAATGGGTGCATTGGCTTCTACAAGGTCTCACTGTGAAGCCAAGGGAGGCTACATACCTACAATACCCACAGTGAAGGAACATATTAATTGCCAAATAAGTATCATGTCTATATACTTTCCCATCATCTTTATACTACAAACAGAGATTGTGAAGTAATGGATATTTACAATATTTATACTTAGTCTTATTCCATCGATTATGTGTTCAAGATTATAATAGCAATAACAGAGACTGACTGAAATATTAACTGGTCACAAGGAACATTTCCTACAGATCCCAGTACTGAGGAGGTAGAGACAGAATGATCCCTAGGACTTTCTGACCAGTCAGTCTAGCCTCATTTGGGGAGGTACTGATTCAGTGAGAGATCCTGTTCATAAACTAAGTGGAAAATAATTGAGGAAGGCATCCATTATCAACTTCTGACTTCTACATGCACATGCGTGTACGCACATACACACACACACACACACACCACAAATCATATATTTTGCTATTTTGCACTGGAAAACATTGAAATTTCACTGACAGTCTGAGTTTTCTTCAGTTATTGTATAGAAAGTGAGGGGTTTGTGGTTTTGAGCATAGATAAGAAAGGAAATGCCAGGAAACAACTGAAGCAAAAATTCAACAGCATTGCTTAGTTGCAGTTTTCTTGAAGCTATACACCTGGACCTTTGTTCAAAATTTGACTCTTTGACCTGTTAATGGGGTAACCATGAGACTTATGCATATGTGTTGTGCATACTTGGGTGGAGAATGATTTCTATTACATTGTGTTCTGCAGCTGTGGAAATTATCTAAAATACTGTGATTCAAAACACTCATGGATGATCACTAATCTAGGTATTATAGGAATATTTCAAATTAAGTTAATCTACTAAAAATGTAGATAACACTTCAGTAAGGAAAAAATCGTACCTCAACACATTTGGTTGGCATCTCAGCAGGTCTGTCAAAGATGAGAAATCGGTACCATCCAGGGGTGAGAGAATAGTCACAGATCAGGTCTTGAGGAGCTGACTGCTGGAAGTACACGGAGTCAAAGTAGACACTTCTGTAAGGACTCTGAAGAAATTGGTGACCCCCAGGAGAACACTCTGGAGCTAGATGGAAAGATGAGAATTTTCATGTCATGTGTTTTCTTCACCACCATAGTTAGGTCTTCAGTTAAAAGTTGATTCTCTTTCCCAAAAAAAGCAAATAAACTCACTATTGCACACACACACACACACACACACACACACAGTTATCAAAATGTCAGGGAATCCTAGCAAATGAAAGATGACTTAGCTTGCACTTTCTAGAGATGCAACAGGCAACTCAAGAACTGTCACAGATGGAGTTTGAGACACTTACATTGGGGTTTTTATTTTCATTTGACTTGAACATAGAAAGCAACAAAGTTGAATGCTCTTGAGTTAAAATGTGTCAACTGTGACCACAAATGACCAATCCCAAAGGATTCCTCTTGGGTCTAGTTTCCAGATTTCAATGTCAATACTGCCCTTTCATAAACAAATTTTCTCTAACGCAGGCACTAAAATCCTACCTCTACTAGATAGCAAACTGCAAGATCCTCAACTAATTTCTTAATGACATTCTTATCTTTGTAGTTGTGAAGAGCCTGCTACCTAAGTTTCCTGTATTTATTACAAGATTTTAGAATCACCATAAGTGTCTTTCTCTTCCATAGATATACATTTTCTAGGAAGAACCTAGATAGCAAACTGCAAGATCCTCAACTAATTTCTTAATGACATTCTTATCTTTGTAGTTGTGAAGAGCCTGCTACCTAAGTTTCCTGTATTTATTACAAGATTTTAGAATCACCATAAGTGTCTTTCTCTTCCATAGATATACATTTTCTAGGAAGAATCTCACCTTCGTAATTCCAATAAATTTGCTAATTATCATAAATATTAATGATAAATATTTTATTAAGTATATGCACTATCATTTCATTTCATTTTAAAAGACTTCTAATATCTCTCAATATAAGAACACTGCACATGATCAAAAATTAAAGACTTTATGTTAGAGGGTACTAGTAATGGAATTTACATGAATTACTGAAATAGTTTTGCTGGTTGATTACCTTTAATATTATTTTCTTTAGGGAAAACTCAGTAAATTCATTTTCTTTCTCATGTGCATAAATATATAATGTGTGTATGAATGTTTGCACATGTGTACAGATGTGCTTGGGTCCTGAGCATGTGAACTCATGTTTTCACTCTGGCATAGCAAGTGTTCTAACCACTTAGCAATTGTCCCAGCATATAAGTCTATTTTAATTCTATGTACTATTTCTCCTTCAGTATCCTTATAGTCCTTACATTTCTTCTTACACTGCTTTAAATAATATTCCCTAATCCAAAGGAGCATAAGGAATAATTTTAGGGGACATTACTGTGTGACATTACCAATATCCGCTGGCAGAGTGCATAATATTTAAAAGAGAATTTTGTTTCACTTTATTTTATTTTATTTAGAAAATTCTTAGTAAGTAGAATTAGTATTAGTTCCAATTTTTTAGCTCATTTCATGATTTCTTTCCTAAAAATTTACTTGTCTATTCCAGAATGTGGAGCAGAAAGTAAAAAGAAAAACATTAGTAATGAAAAAGTCACCCTACTCTTCACCAATTTACAGCACCTGGCATGAGTCAAGCCAGTGAAAATCCCAGAGCAGATACCAGAGGCACTCAAGAAGCCCCAGCCCTAGCTGAGCAGCTATCCACAGCTGATGGCTGCTGGGGAAAGGAGAGTCAATTTTATTCAGAGATGTTGACTTGGTTACCTGTGCTCCAGTGGACTATGCTAAACTCAAGCACCTAAGGCAATGATAACTGAACTCAGTGCAGTGGTTCTCAACCATCCTAAAGCTGTGACCCTTTACAGTTCCTCATGTTGTAGTGACCTCTATCCATAAGATAATTTTGGTTGCTCCTTCAGAACTATAAATTTGCTACTGTTATGAATCACAATGTAAATATCTGACTGCCGGATGTCTGACATGTGACTCCTGTGAAGGGGTCGGGTGACCACAAAGGGGCGGTAACCTACAGTTTGAGAACCACTAACTTAGTGGGTTTCAAAGATTATGAAGTTGCTTGGGGTGTGGAATAAGGAGCTCTGTGAGGAGCTGAAAGTCTTCATAGAAGACAGATGTAATTAAGACACATTGTACACATGCATGAAATTATCAAATAACTATAAATACTTTTCCATGTAAAAAAAAAAAAAGAAAAAGTCACCCTACAAAAACCTTAGTCCAATGAATCAGGGGAGTGCCAGTGTACAATCCCACTGCCAGAGAGTCTGGGAAACAGAACCTTCATCCAGAAACTGATGAAAGCAGAAGCAGACACCCGCAGCTAAACACTGAACTGAACTGGAATCCAGTGACAGAAAGGGAGAACTGATGAGCAAAGGAGTTAAGACTGGGCTGGTTTAACCCAGAGAAACAGCTGACCTGAACAAGGGGGAGCTCTTGGTCCCCAGATTGATGGCCTTGTGGAAAGTATGGAACTGACCCAGACCACCTGAATGTGGGTGTCAGTTAGGAGACCTAGGTAATATGTGGGGCCTAGGGTATTATTTATCCCTCATGTACAAATAGACTTTGAGTGTCCATCCCACAATAAGGGATGCTCTCTCAGCCTGGACTCTTGGGGGAGGGCCTAGGCCCTGCCCTACATGAAATGACAGTTACTGGAGATACACCATGGATTGCCTCACCCTCCCTGGGGATCAGAGTGGAAATTGGGTGGGGGACTGGGGGGCTTGGTGGAGAGGGCGGGGGAAGAGGGGAGGGAGAGAGATCTGGGATTGACATATGAAACAAGCTTGTTTCTAACTTAAATTTTAAAAATGAGTTTGTATTAAAAACCAAAAACAAAAACAAAACCTTAGTCCAGCCTTGGCTCTAGAATACATCCCACAGATAAGCCAGCATTGTGATGTGTAGGCTCTCATGTAAGGACAAGCTTATCTTGGTCAAGTACTGAAGGAATAGTGCTACCAATCCTTCACAGTCATCAGTGTCACAACTTGACACACTCTCTAGAAAAGCCTTAGTCTATTTCCCTGAAAACAGAAGTTCATATAAATATATACTCCTTTCTGTCATCTACTTTCTGATGTGATTTAGATCAACTAAGCAACTTACAATAAGATCTTCAATACTTATATTTCACATACTTTGAGAGAATGTGCCAGGCTATAAATGATAGATACAGAGTGGCAGAATATGCAAATGGCCTTTCCATTTATTTGTTCCTTGTGGTATATTGCTTATGGTATATACAATAGCATATCATGGCTATATAAAGCTGAGAGGTAGTTCAGAAATATGTTAAGACTCTAACTAAATTGAAATCAAACTTCATTTAAAATTAAAGATTTCAACTCCCTGTGGAGGTACATGCCACTTGGTGGTGCATATCTGTAACCCCAGTTTGCTGAAAATGAGGAGCAAGGGAGTAAGAGATTTAGAAAAGCATGGGATATATAGTAAGACTTTGTCCACCACAAAACAAAAATTGCTCATGTACTGCAAAGCATACAGAAAATGAAAAGATGATACATTGGACATAATGGGAAAATAATTGCATATTGTATAGGTGGCGAGAGAATTGAGGGTAAGATATGCAAAAAACTCATATAAGACAGCACAGAGGCCACAACCTCATTTTATTATTATTTTTGGGAGAAAAGATCTAAGTAGGGCTTGTCCCAAAGAACATATGGAAATGTCAATATACAAATGAATAAGACGTGCTTGAAACCATTAGTTAGGGAAATGCAAATCAATACACCATCTGACATCCACTAAATTGGCTAAAATCAAAATGCCAGGTAATGCCAAGTGTTTGCAGGTATATGAATTAATTGGAACCGTCACATGCTATAGGAATATAAAATAGGGCAGTCATTTTGGGGAGACACTAACTTTTCTAAAACTGGTTAATCTTAGCTAACTTCTGACCCAGCAAATCTCCTTCTAGTTAAAAATAAAAACATTTGTTCATATAAAAATTTGCACAGAGATACTCATAGCAGCATTATCTGTAACAGCAGAAAGACAGAAGCAACACAAATCCCCCAACCTAAAACTGCACACACAAAATATACTGTTTTCTTATAGTGGAATGTTCTTCAATCTTAAAGACAAATGAATGTTGCCACCCATACTGTATCATGGTAATCTTTAAAACATTGTATTATGTGAAAAATGACACCTGTAATATAATCCTGTTTATAAACAATACACAGAGGAAGCAAATAACTAAAACAGAAAGCAAAATAGTGGTGGCTCATGACTGGGGAGACAGAAAGGGGGATAGGACTGGTAGCTTTGATAACAAAAGGCACAATATTTGGTTTTGATTCTAAACTTGACTATAACTGTACATATTGGTGGATGTGTGGATATAATTCCATAGTGCACTTTAGGTGAGTAATAGGTATAGTGCAGGAATCATCCAAATAGATTTATATGATTTACAGTAAACTTAGAAGCATCTTTCTAAATATTTGACTATATTAACAAATATGTTTACAAGCCTTTTCTGGAAACATAATGACTGCATATTTACTACTTATAATACATGAGTTTTTAAAGTTTTTATAGCATTTTTAAAGGTTAGGAAGGGTAGGGGGAGAAGGAAAAGGTGATAGGATAATGGGCTTGTGAATACCTACAAGGAATAGGTACTAACGCTCTACAGAACAATAAGATGACTGCAACTGACAAAAATGTCTTATATACTTTATAAAGAACCAGAAAGAGAAAAATTCCAAGATTCTCAGTAACAATCATAAAATCATCTTTACAGAGACAGGGATGGTAATTTTTGGATACCTGGATCCAATTGCACAGTTCTGTGCCTGTGAATATGTACAACTACCCTACTAATTTAAGAAATGCCTTTTCTGAACACCTGCATTAAATCTAAGCAAACCTAGGAAGTCACAGATGAATGACACCTGGTTAAGGAAATGCATTTCCAGAAATAAATTGAGTGTTGATGATCTGTTTAAAAAGAAATTCACTTGGGGGAAATGTCTGCTTCTCCCTCACCACTGCTCTTTCGGATCAAATTTATTTTAATAAAATTGCTCAAGATTGACATGATGATGCAACGACAATTTTTTTTTACCCTTTAGAGATGTTGCACGTGGCTTTTCTTCAAGCTGCGGATAGTTGTATGCGTCATTTACTTCTCAAAAAGAATAGGTAACTTACAAGACCAAGTGGCCTTTTGTTTAATATTCTTATCTGTATGAGCACAAAGAAGCGCAGAAAGGTTAAGGGCTCTGTCTTGTGTCATTAACGTCACCCAGCTGTACATTTTTCTGTCAGGGTTTGATGAACTGGGAGAGGATATTCTTTCCATCAAGTTCGCTTTCGCAGCAGAGAACTGACTGTACCAGACGATGGGAAATCTAGCATACACAAAACTAGCCCAGTGGCCGATGTAGACATCACCAATTGTTTCCAGAGGCGGCCTGAGACTGGAGATCGTTAGTTTCTAACTAATTCGGATCCACTTCCCTTTACAGTACCAGGCAGATTCGGCAAATGTTCCTGCAGCCAATTAAACGGAATTTAAGTATCAGGAGATCCGCAGGGAATAAGACAAAACAAAACAGTACCAAGAGGTTTCAGGAAGAGGAGGCTCTGGCAGCCTGAGCATAAAAGTAAAATGCAAGGAGCAATTGACTGTGAAAGGCACCAAGATGGTGCCAGGTCAGCGGCACGCCTCTGAGTCAGAAAAGCGGGTCCTGGTGCCCAGCTCCAGGCAGCCTCTGTGCTACCCTTCCCAATCACCTACCTTGCTGGCCTTCCCCCAGGACCAGGAGCATCAGCGCGGTCACCAGCCTTGCCCAGGTTCCGCCCGGCATCACGTGCTTCCCTGTGAGTCCCACAAATGGGGAAAACCTGCCTCAGAGCTCCACTCCCTGCACTCTCTTAAAAAGTCTGTTCCTGCTTGGCCTTCAGGGGAGTTGCGAGTCTTCTGCCTGCAGTAAATCATTCACTTCTTCTATGGGAGACTTCTGGTCCCTTGGGCCAGCCCCAGACTCCTCCCCGCTAACCCTAGGTATCCTCCTCTCCTAAAGCCACGCCCAAACTGTCCCTGGGGCCCTGGAGCACCCAGCAAGGCCACTGAGGTCCCTTCTCCTAGGATGTCACCTGCATTACCATAGCCTGCCAGGATTTCTGAGATGTAGGTCTGATACAGAGTTTTGCTGTCCTAAAAAATACTGAGAAAGTCCTCCACAATGTACATACACTCTCCAAGAAGTCTAGATTGTTCTCTGGGGTCTGGAAAGGATTTTTTAAATTATTATTTTGTTTTTGTTCTGAATACGCAGTTAACTCGGGTTGCCTTTGAACTCACAATCCTCCTGCTTTGGCCTCTGGATTCTTGGATTTACAGGAAAGAGACATCACTATCTGGTTATGAATGCAATCTTTTTGTGTGGAGACCAGACGTCAGCCTAAGGTGGTGTTCCCACAGGAGCTGTCCACCTGATTTTAAGGTATAGTCTCTCATTAGCATAGAGCACACCGAACAGACTAGGGTGGCCATTGAGGTCCAGGAGCCCTGGTCAGTGCCATGATTACAGGAAGGCTTCCTTGAGTGAATTCTGAGGATTGACATCAAATTCTTACTGCAGGGCAAGCATTTTGCTACCTGAACTATATCCTGCGACCGGGTAGATGCATTCTTAATTCTAGCTGGCTCTGCTGCTTTGCTTTGCTCCTCCAAGAGAACCTGTTTCCCAGAAGATGCCCTTGTCGTCTTTGGACTCACTAATGAGTACTGGGAGTAGGGAGGATAGAGTAATGTAGTGAAACACCATTGTGTGGTGCCAGCATTTGTAAGCTGATAGATTGATGAATCCTGGAGCTGACTCATTTGCCTACTCCTGACCCAGGATTCTTCAGCAAATGGCCAAATAGCCTTCCTGGTTGCTCTGAGAATGGCTTCCCATCCTTTGAGTTATCAGATGTGTAGTTGCTTCTGTACAGAAAGCAGATCCTTAGATAATTGTGTGTGTGTGTGCACGCACGTTGTGCATGTGTGTGCATATGTGTACGCATGCATGCATACATGTATGTATAATTGTGTGTGTGCTTGTTTATTAATGTTTTAAAATAAATCCTGCAGAGATATTGTGTGGAAGGCTGAGACTCAGAGTCCCCTGATCCATCACCTAGAACTTTACCCTGACAAGTCTTTACCCAAGGAGAGAAGAGACATTGGTCCTGGAGGGACATGCTGGACACCAGGTACACATCACATTCCCCTTAAAAGACTGTATAGTCCAGGTGGTGCTAGATGCTGAAGACAAAAGATGCCACAGACAATAAGAAATTTTGTCTCAAATGGTATACTCCTTTTTAACATAAATTTGAAAGAAAAATTATCTCTAAAAAGTTTAAAACATTTCTCAAAATTGAAAGCATTAACCATTTTGGGAAATAAGCTCTTGTTGTCACACAAAACCTGCTTGAACGTTATTTTTCTATGCCAAAAAAGGCATTCAATCTTACAAAATAAAGCACAAAACTTAACTTTTTACTTGGTCTATTATGATTTGCATGGTAAATCTTAATAGAGGTAGGAAAAACAGAGATTTCTTAATTTGTAATTTCTTGTTATTTCAGTTTACAAATAAAATTGAGAAAGAAAACTCATCAGTAATCTGCTGTTTTAATCTTCAGGGGTAATAGAAAAGATGTAACCAAAATCAAATCATTTACAGTGCTTTGTATATTAAATTAGAAATATATGTAAAATAAAATTTGATACTTTCTTGAAAAAACTACCCACTTAAATAATTTCCAGCAAACATACAGTTTACAACACAGTCTGTCTTTATTTTCTTCTCAGTGAAAGATTTACAGCTGTCAGTCTGTGAGTTTAAAATAGGCTTGTACCAAAAACCATTGCTTTCCAATTAAACAAACTAACATGGAAAGCACTAAGCATTACTGAGGACTGTTTCCTATCCCTCAGTGAAAATTAATCTTGGAACTTCAAGTGTTTATATAAGTGTATATTGAAGGAAACCAAAGAGCAATAAAATGTTTGTCATGTGTCATGGTATTAATAAAATTTAGTATAAGATTCAATTTCTTATAGTTTTATTGTTAAAAAGATGAAAAATGAAGTGTGATACCCTCATCAATACTCGTATAACTTGTAAAGTTTATTAGATATCTCTGAGATATAAAGAGTAAGAGGTAGATTGGCAGAATAGCTGTGGGAGTACAGGAGACCTAGGCTCTCATTCCTGGCCTGATACCCACTTCTTGTCTTTGTAACATTAGACATTATGCTCATGTCTACTTCACTTCATTTCTTTCCATACCACACAGAATTAAAAGAGTATGTGTGTGTCTGCAGGGGTGGGAGGAAGGGGTATTTTGACTAGCACCTGGTTCAAAGTAGCTATTATGAATAAACACGATAATTTACTGTTATTAAAACAATGGATAAAAACTATGTAATTATGTCCTCCCTTATCTCTTATTACATAAAGACATGTAGTTTCTCTTTACTACACTATTAGAGTATACTACATTATTGAGGACACAGTGAAAAAAATCACATCTGTATAACAAGAATTCCATGTTTTACTAAATAAGAGTGCTCTTGCTTTTAGCCAAAAGTCATTCTAGCCACAGTACTGACAGAACAAAGACGAAAGATCCTCTTTCCCAAACATGAAAAAATGATTGGCTGCAGCTGAACATCAAGAGCAGACATGCAGTCATATTTACTCTGGGAGTGGTCGAATACTGAAGGCTGTGGAGAGAAGAAAGAGCATAGCGGGTGCTCAAAGAGAACAAAGGATGAGGGAAGGCATGCCAGGGCCACAACCAGTGAACCACACTCCTGCACAAAGATCAGAAGGGCACACAGTCTGAGAAAGAGGAAAACAACACAATCAGAGCAACACAGAGGCAGAGAGCACTTCCCAATTCCTCAGAGCATCCCTCTCAATCATTCTGTGATATGCCCCATGTGTCGTCCAGGGACTTGGCTGTGAGTTTAGAGATTGTGGTAGTTTGAATGTAATTGGTCCCCACAATTTCATAGAGAATGGCACTAGTAGGAAATGTGGCTTCGTTGAAGTAAATGTGACCTTGTTGGAGGAAGTGCGTCCCTGTAGGGGTGGGCTTTGAGGTCAAGCTACACCAAGTGACCCAGACCACTTCCTGCTGCCTGTGGGTCAAGATGTAGGACTCTTGGCTCCTTCTTCAGCACCATGTAAGCCTGCATCCACCATAATTATAATGGACCTCTGAAAATGTAAGCCACTCCAGTTAAATGTTTTTCCTTTATAATAGTTGCCTTGGTCATAGTGTCTCCTAACAACAAAAGAAACCCTAACTAGGACAGACATTTTGTTTGTGTTACTATTCTTTACCTTTAAAAAAGTGTTCTCTGAGGTCAGGAGAAAACATAAGTGATGCAAATTAATAATTGTATCATTTATATTTTCTTACTCATGCATTTTGCTAGTGAAAGAATGGGAAATATTATGTTTTATATTTAAGTGGTCATCTATTAGGGTCAGATAGATGAATTATTAGGCCACATAGAAAATATCCAAGAATAATAATTTCAGAGAGAAGAAGCTTGGATCTTTGCAGAGTAAACTATGATGGCAATAAATTACTATAATGCTATTATAATAACTATATTACTAATAATGGAATTTATAGTCAGTTACAGAGAGGGTAACTAAAATACCACAGGAGAGATGGTCCAACAAACTCTCACTCACAGGCTAAGCATCCTCTTAGTCTTTTTCCCACATTTAAAACAGATCCTCTTTGTTAATTCCTTAAAAGTTAATGACAGAAATGTGGGTGAATAAAAAGAAAACCAGCTTTATCCATTAAAATATATTAATGAAGAAAAACAGTTCATAGCTAAAAAGAGAATGCCCTCAAACCTGCATTATAAAATGTTTCAGTCATGATATTCCCGCTTCATGTAGATCTAAAATCATGCAATGATTATTTTTAAAGGAAAAAGCTAAAGCCACTCACTTGTTTGCCCTGAAATTTTATATTTGGATCCTCTTTTGTTTTTCTCTGCTTAGGAAAATGGAATATTTGCTGTTTCTTCTCACAAACGAGGAATGACTCAGTCACTATCTCCTCCACATTATGTTTAACCCTTGAAAAGTTTTGGCAAGAAACTTAAAGATATGTATTGCTTTGTTGCTCCACTGGTCCAGGAAACCACTACAGGAAACATCACCCTTGGGTGTTATCTAGGTATGGGACAATTATGTCGTTTTTAGAATTTAAAGAAAACTTGGTATTTATTATATATCCTTGGTTTTTTTCTTCCAGGGAGTAAATTCCATGCAAAATGAAACAAGGGTCTTCATACCTGCATCTGTAGTGAAAACACATTTACCATCAGGAACATTTTAGAAAATTTATTTTAAACACATACACACACACACATATTCACATGCATGTGTGTGAGAAAGGCACACACACACACAAACACACACACAGACACACACACACAGAGAGAGAGAGAGAGAGAGAGAGAGAGAGAGAGAGAGAGAGAGAGAGAGAGAGAGAGAGAGAGAGAGAGAGAATTTGTTTGCAGAGGAGCACACACATGGATTCCCAGGTCTGTCAGAGCTAAGATTATTGTCATTTGTAGTAAGCCTGCCTTCTTAAGTAATGCTGGAGTATGAACTCAAGTCTTCATGATTATGTAGCAAGCTCACTTAACAGTTGGACAATCTTCATAGCTCCTTATATAAAGATCTTTTAAGAATAGCACATGTATGGTATTCACCTGCTGGGGAACGATGTTCTTAGTATAGGTTTCTTTCTTTAAATTAAATATCAACTCATCAAAATACCTCCAAATAACTAGCATCATTTTATTTTTCATACTAAAACAATAATTCTTAGGGTTTCAATTATTTTTGAGTTTAAGTTAACTACAAATTTATGTAACTTAAAATAGGACTAAGTTTTAATATAGTTATTTAAAAACAGAAGTATAAAATCAGTTACTCTGCATT